CCGAATCGTTGCTTTGTCGTCAATTGCTCCTAGGAGTCGGGTGATGGTGTCACCATGCACAGATTTCCACAGGACCCGCAGTTAAATTGCTAAATGGGTTATGTTTGTGAGAGCGGCTTAGCATTGTGGAAGCCTGAAACGATATCTTACTTGTGTTCAGATCGCTTCACGGAAGTTAAAGAATCAAAACTACTTACTAGTTATAGTAAAATATGTATATGATTGATGACCATAAAGATTTTCCATAACACAACTTGTAACATAACGATTTCTTCCTCGGAAGTGAGGTTGTGGTCGAAGTAACAATAATATTGTAAGTAGTATTATATTGACACCCACCTCGCTGCCAAGAGAGAAATTGTTATGTTATACGCTATGTCATGCAAAATCCTATTGGCCATCAATAAAATACATATTTTACTACCAGTAGAAAGTAGTTTTGATTTTGTAACTCGGTGAAAACAAACCTAAATAGCATTTATCCACAGACTGGCGGATGTTCCAGACAGGGCACCGCCATTTTTGAAAATCGTAAAGTCTGTTAGAATTAATGAGATTATAGTTTGTTTTCATCAAGTTAGAAAATCAAAACTACTTTCTACTCAGAAGTTAAATATGTATTGGAATCATAGCCAAAAGGATTTTGCATGACACAACTTATAACATAAGCGATTTCTTCCACGGAAGCGAGGTGGGGGTCGAAGTAACAATACTGCGCCGATAAATTTCTTGCTACATTCACATGGTTAATGTCCACTCACCAGTATGTAGATACTAGTCAATGTGCGTCTTTATATTTGGTCTTATAATCCTAATTAGTTTATTATCATACTTTTATGCATTTTGAAACTAAATAAAAAGCTGACGATCTGCTGATACTTATAGTGAATTTATAACAGAACTGTAATATCTAGACATTTTATAGTTTGCCAATGTGAATCATAATTCGCACACACACCCTAGTGTATGTTGTCTGTCTCATTACACTTCACGCCGAAAACAATGATTTCTGTTGAATGCTACGACAAATGAATAAAAACAAAATGCAAATATTAAAATTAAAACAGATTAAAGTTATAGGAACAATATCAGGCCATTACCTTGTTTGAGGAATGTATCCATCAATATCCACAAAACTGTTTCCAAATGATGTGTCTTTTAACAGTTTAATATACGAAAAGTGATAAATCTTTTCAGGTATTGGTGTATAGTCTCATTGGTCACCCAAGATAGCACACCTGGCAACTAATTGCATAATGTCCGCCTTTCATTAAAAACAGTAATTTAGTTAGCCAATAATGGGCAATCAATCAATGTATTGCCGGTTAATCCTTTGAAAGAAGGACGTTGTTTTTACACAGACACCGACACGGCAGAGTGTATTCAGTATAGATTAGTAAATCTACATACATAAACACTACCTTTTGACAATTCCGCTGTGTAAGATAAAAGTAATTAATCAATCAGCGTGTTATGTTTATAATGTTGAATATTTACTCCAGACACAAGAAATGCCAAATGGGAACCTTTGTCGGGTAATCTAAGTGTGTTACCACTAATTATACCTGTTATAAATTCATTAACTGACCATCAAGTGAATGATGACAAATAACATGTGTAGGTTTATACCACCTAACACGGGTTACAACAAGGGAGTATTAATTGCTGTATTGCATGTGAAAACTTATGGGCCGACACTGTTTTGAGAATACAAACAGATTTTTACATGACATGATTAAATATCGAGGTAAAAAAACACAGAAATGGGATCAATTTGGATCAGTCATTATACAAATAGGGCCTAACGACACCAATCAATTGTGACAGAAGCGTCTATGAAAACAAGTTGTAACTCGGAAACTAGGCAAAGCAGGAGACAAAATTAAATGACAGTAGATTGTGAGAACATATAGCTTTCATTTTCCACAACAATTGTCACGATTTCAGGTTTATACAAGCCTGTAAACAAGATAATTTACCCCCTAAAATGTAGATGAATTCTGCATCGGCCCTCAAAGCTATTCCTCATATGACGTCACAGAGTCGCGCCGCTCTGATTGGTTGAAATTTCGTTCGCGGGTGAGAATTGTGCACTGTTGTCAAAAAGGTCGATTTAAGTCAATTAAAGGTCGAAATGAGTAGTTTTAATGACGGGGTTTCATTTATAACGATGCCAGTTAGTGATTTATGTATTTTTACCCCCTAGGGTTTATGTGACCTTTAAAACAGACTAAAGTTATAGCAACAATAGTAGGCTTTTACCTTGTTCGGGGAATGTATCCATCAATATCCACATAAAGGAATGAAATGCCATTCATCTGCAGCTGACAAAGTATCCTGTTCATGTCAGGTGTCTTTTAACAGTCTAATATGCGAAAAAGTGATCTATCGTTTGAGGTTATTCGCATTGGTGTATAGTCCCATTGGTCACCCAAGATAGCACACCTGGCAACTAATTGGATTATGTCCGCCATTCTTTAAAAAAAGTAATTTAGTTAGCCAATAATGAGCAATCAATCTATGTATCTATGCGGTTAATCCTTTGAAAGAAGGACGTTGTTTCTACAAAGAGACTTTACGACAGGGTGTATTCAGTATAGATTAGTAAATCTACATACATAAACACTACCTTTTGACAAATCCGCTGTGCAGGATAAAAGTAATTAATCAATCAGCGTGTTATCGGTTAATCCTTTGATCGATGTTTGTTTTGTAACTCAGCTGATAATTCCTCTTACTGCACTTCCATGCGCATATTACATAAGATGTAATACATTTGCCACATCAGACCTCAATTTATCATGATGAGTATTTACTCCAGACACAAGAAATGCCAAATGGGAACCTTTGTCGGGTAATCTGAGTGGCGTTAATACTAATTATACCTGTTATAAATTCATTAACTGACCATCAAGTGAATGATGACAAATAACATGTGTAGGTTTACCACCAAACAAGGGTTACAGCAAGAGAGTAGTAATCACTGTATTGCATGCAAGTTTGATTGCCTGAAAAAAAAACTGTTTTGAAGATACGAAAGGAACTTCATTGTTACATAAGAAATATATCTAAGCATTTGCTGTGTACTAAAAACTGTATATACCTATGTACCTAAGTAAAATTTCAGATTTTTTTTTGCAATGGCAAAGTGGGGGTTGTTTTGTTTATGGATTCAAATATATCAAATGTGTGGTTTTTTATCGTAGCATACGTAATAGATGTCATATTTTTACATGATTACATATCGAGGTAAAAAACACAGAAATAGGATCAAATTGGATTAGTCGCTCTACCATCGAAACATTTGAAAATCTGAAAAAGCCTACACTGCTGGGATACTTTATTACAATCAGACAAGAACTACCGGGGATATTTTCAAATAACAGGATCTGATGGGCATCACCCTTCCTAATGTCCCACTGATTACGTTGAAGAAATTCTGCCAAGGTGGACAGTTGCCCAGTCCCCGTGTCGATCACGGTCGAGGGAGCAGGGGCTGACCAGTTTGCAGCTAGGTTTCATAATTAGACTGTTGGCTGGAAACATTAATCGCTCTGGATCAGTGGCCCTTTAAGTTAGGTATCAGTATTTATTGATGATTCCACCATGAATTTTGAAATTTTTCAAGATATTAAACAACTATGTTTGAGCATAGTGTGAGGTCATACCAAATTAAAATAACAGTTATCTAATCTTCAGTCTGACTACCTCAAATTTCTAAATAGTAGGTTTATCTCCAAAATGGATAATCTACATCATGCTGAAGAACTGGGTTCAAATTCCCACATGCTTACAAGTTGTGAGTGAGTTAGTTTAGTTTTACACCGCTTTTAGCAATATTCCAGCAATATCATGGCGGGTGACAGCAGAAATGGGCTTTACAGATTGTACTCATGTGGTGAATTGAATCCGGGTCTTTGGCGTGACGAGCGAACTCTTTACCCACTAGGCTACCTCACTGCTCCCTTACAAGTTGTGAAGTTTCTTGCATACCATTCCCTGGTATTACTATCAAAAATTTTATTAATCGTAAAAGTGGCATACTAACTCATTATCAATGTCCTACCAAACAGAAGAAGCTTGACATGAGGCCAGTTAATTTGGGTAACATATGTCCACAATGACTACCGAGTCATCCCTTTCTCTGATATGCATTGGATATTGCTTCAAGCAGAGCAATATCATACTCACTAACTCAAAAGGAATCTCAAGGAAGTTGGTAGCCCAGTGGTTATAGCATTCGCTCTTCATGCCGAAAACATGGGTTTGATTTGCAGAATGGGTACAGTGTGTAAAGCCTGTTTCTTGTGCCCCCTGACGTGATATTGCTTGATTTTCCTAAATGTGGCTTAAATCCATACTCATTCAAATGCTTGATTGCTTACTCAGGAACACTTTCATACAGCGATATTTTAAACTTCCACTGATAATTTTCTAGCATGTCGTTAGGTTTGCATGTATTCAGAAGAGGTATTTGTTGTTATTACTCACCTGTTGAAGATGTCACTGTTAAATAAATCTACAATGTTATTACACATTGTGTAATAACATCGCATGCTGCCGGAACTAATTGCACTCGGTCACATGACCAAAGTAACATGATCAAAACAACATGTCAGCTGCCATGCACAACACATCTCAATCTCGCGATATTTCAGATGTTTTATTTCAAACATTTTTTTACATAGCTACATCATTTGGTCCCTTTTTCATATCCCCTTGTTTTTTTTTTTTTGTAAAAATCAAATTAAATAAACTAATGTTGACAATCATAAATGAAATGTATTCATACGTGTGACCCCTGTTATGACGGTGTAATACACTTGTTCTGTAAGTTGAATTCTGAGGTATTAGTTTGCTAATGTTGGGTGAGCTTTCGCTCATTAGATACTAAACCATTCGCTCGTTAGATACTAAGCCATTCACTCGTTTCATAAATATGGTATTACCCGAGACATCAATTAGTATTCTTTATGTATGACACCATGTATGTTTGACAGACCCTGCAGGGCCTGGAGCAGATCTTCATCAACTGTTCCAACCATCTTCAGGAAGAACAGAAGGCTGCTTACGCACCCCCTATACAGGAAGTGTATTACGATAAAAGCATGGTAGGTTCGCACAAAGGTTTACTACAATGAAAATAGTAACTGGGCAAGTGCTTTGTTGTTTATAGAAAAATGTTTCAAACTGAACATAAGTTTCCACAGTTGCCAGTATTTTTCAGTTGTGGGTGCACTAATTTTCTGTTGTCATGGTAACATTTCAATGTTTCTTGTTTAGCCGCAAGTGTCCAGACGTCTGTTTCTAAACTGTAGCGGTATACTGAAGCTGGTAAAAGACAAGTTCAAGCCAAAGCCAAAGCATAAGTAAGTAAGAATATCAGGATTTACCCTGAGTGATGAAAATCTTGATGTTGGTGTGTTGTTTAACGACGCACTTGGCATTATTCCAGCTATATGTTGGCGGTCTGTAAATCAGGACAATCCAGTGATCAACAGCATAAGCATTGATATCAATGCAATTGGGATACAATGACATGTGTCAACCCAAACAGCGAGCCTGACAACCAGATCCTGTTAGTCGAGTCTAACGACAAGGATGCGTTACCAAAGACCAATTCTAACCCCGGATCTAAGTCACAATACCATGACGTCACAAGGGGTCCTGTAGTTTAATTATGCAGATAAAAAATAAGTGAGACAGAACTAAGATGTGTAGAAATTTAAGAAAAATATTTCAATAAACATTGATGTTCTAAAAGAAATAAGTTGTAAATGAATAATTGATTATGTGCAGATATATTTTTTAAAGATTTTAAAATCACATTGTCTATCATACAACAGGGTTTAAAATAATTATGTGTTTCGTCAGTTTCCAAAGAAATTTGTTAATAACATAAGTACCTCTAATTCGCAATTAATGCTGCCTTTCCAGATATACGACTGTTGATGACTCGGATGTCACATTCTACATGATCCGGACCAACGTCTCAAGCGTGGTCGGACAACTTGACAATGTCCGCAAACACTCCAAGTAAGAACAAATCTCAGGAATTAATGCATATATAATTTCAAACATATTTTCTTATAAGAGAATGTGTTTGTTAAAAGTTCTTGTTTCAAGACATTTGTAAACAGAATGGATAGCAGAATAGTTGTATTCAGTGACAGATTTGTTTGAGTGACTTGCTCCAAGCTAATTTACCTGCAAAATAGGAATCTGTGTTAGGGTATAAGTAGACTGTATTCTACTCTTGTGGCTTTGGTCCTGTTGACTTCGCTGACACACAAGTAAGTATAGAAGAAAAGCATTGACTGAGTGTGTTTGTTACAGGAAGTTCATCTGTCTCAATGACAACATCGAGCATGGTTCCGAGGAAGCCAGAACTGTAAGTCTAGCATGCCTGTCTCAGTGATGCAAAAGTAAGGTACTATATTTGCTGTATTAAGCACCCTGTTCCAGAAAGCACTCTGTTACCAATCCCCACATACATACTGGAAGCTGGAATATTGCTACAGGTTACACAAAACCAAATATTTTCCTATAGACTTCCACAGTAACGTTATATGTCATAAAGTAACCAGGTGAGTAATAGCCATTACATGTAAATGCTACACAGTATGGCCTTAAAGCCACAATAAAAACACAAAGTTTGACTAGGTTAACCGATTCCTTTTCCGAGTACAGGAAGTTGAACACACCAACCCAAGTTCCACACCAAATGTCACCTACTTGAAAATATCTCTGCACACATTCAGCTTAAGTCATAATGTTATCCCCCGCAATGCGTTTTGTAGGGGGGTAGTAAAATGGACTCCGTCCGTGCATCTGTGCACATTTGTCTTTTCCGGAGCAGAACTCTAAAACCGTTCAATGTTTCTTCACCAAACTTGGCACATACATAATTTTTCCTTATCCTGACTCATGTATTATTGCTTGTCTCCTTCCTTCCCCGAACGTTAGTGGAACACTTGTATCTCCTTTTTGAAGCTCCCTTCAAAAAAGTAGACGTAAAATCACTACTCACCACGAGTTGTCTCCCTCTCCGTTTTGGCGGGAAAACGGCGCCACCCGTCTTCCCACTCTTCACTCTCTCCTTCTTCGCCCTAGTGGATGGTTGGGAGAGCACCTGTGTCTCCAACACGGCACTATATCCTTTGCTAACTTAGTTATTTCCCTATAAGTTACCTTTATAAGGTTTCAGGGGAGTATCCTTCTACAATATGGTTTGAAATTTATTAGCAAATTTGACTGTCTATTCACGGTTTCACGTGATTGTTCAGTTTGTTTACATTTCATGAAAACCTGTTTTCGTTGTAGGTTTAGGTTCTCTGCTGCAGACCCGCATTTATTGTGCCCCAGTTGCACAACAATATGTACTTCCAGCTCTCGCTGTAAATTATGTCAGCAATTAACAAAAATTGAATTTAATAATTATTATTTCTCTGTATTTAGACGTGCTAAGGATAAATCCAGACGACTGTTGCAAGTCATGGCTAAACCGGCTGAGTCCCTAAAGAGCTGTCTATCCTTGTCAGACGACATACTTCCATCCAGTGACCTGCCGGAGGCGTCTTCAGGAGATGGGCGTGGGATGAGGTCCGCCATTACATCGAAGAAAAGATCTTCTACGTCGGACAACTCCTCAACCCATATAAAAGAAGAGGCCATCTTCGTCCCAGAAGAAGCCTTACACCCCTAAGGCTTCAACCAGATCTACTGGGAGCTCATCACAGACTACGAGGACTTTTTCTGCTGAGATTGTCCCGATGGAAGAGAGAGGCTTATATGATGAGCCGCTGATACTCATCCCAGAGATACTGCATAAGAAGAAGACGCAGGCCTCAGCAACGGTAACGTCAGCAACCCTCTCTACGCAGTCCGAGTTACCTTCAACACTGACAGCAGAGATCCATGAGGCACAGCGATCCCTGGACCATATTGCTACCCTCTCAGATGCGACATCACTAGGGGCCTTCATGCAGCAATTCTCTCAACAGATGATGGAAATGATGGAGAAGCGCTTCGCACAGGAAAGAACCTCGCATGATGGACAGCCAGGCGGCTCTCATGCCCAAGTCATCAACCTCAGAGAGGAACCAGTGCTGCACGAAGGACCCCACACTGATGACACATCTGAGAGGCCTACCAGAGGATCTAGCTCTAGGACTAAGAGCAGACCTACCCTGCATGACGTCAGCAAACCTGCGCGAAGGAGGGCACGTTCTTCAGACCAGAATAGATGATGAGGCTAATGAAGAACCTTCACGCAGGCTACCCACTTCACAGAGGAAGAAACCTACACCTCCTAGAAGGTTCAGAGAGACGTCTCGGGATTCAGACCCTCAACAAAACCTCTCACCTGCGCGAATGTCTTCTGAATTATCATCAAGGACGTCAACAACGCCTTCGCAGGTCGTCACAGGATTCACCACATAGAAATATATTGCCTTCACGAAAGCAATCCCGGACAAGAAGACGCTCACCTCCACGCAGGTCGCCATACAGATCTCCTCTTAGAACTACACGTAGTTCGACGTACTCATCTCCACACAGATCTCCACGCAGATCGCCACGCAGATCTCCATGCACAAAGGATATTCAACGATCATATACAAGTGGACATGATACAGAGGACGATGGCGGAATCATATTTTCGGACTCAGAGATAAAATATTGGATGGCTAATGGACTGGACCTAGCGTCGGCCTCTAAAGAAGAGAATGAGGCATTCACTTACCTAATGAAGGACGATGATGTGGACACTATCACTCTACCTCCAATTGACCCGGTCTCGGACATACCAGAGGACCTGGACGCAGTCTTCAGGAAGGCAACTAAGTTCCAGTCTCCAAATATCCCACAGTTCAACGCAAAGAAGTTCTCACTACATAACATGGACCCCTTTATGAAGGCACAAGAAATAGATGAGAACTATAAAATCATCAACGACTCCCGGACCAAATCTTACAAGATTGATGACAAAAAACTGGCACAGATAGACACTATGACCAGAAGGATGTTCTTCGGACTTAACAGATCCAGGGCAATTAATGAAACGCTCATCTCCAAGTTCAGGAACTCAACTGCAGAGGAAGACTGGATGATTTATTCTGCCTTACTAACGCAGAAAAAGGACAACCAATTTATGTCAGAGCATTTATCATCCATATCAGCAGCATTGACGCTCGCCAGAAGACAAGGTCTACTGTCTTCATGTAACTGGAGTGAACGCTTCACTAAGACTCTGTACAGAGCTCCATGGTCTACAACATCCATCTTCGCAGGGGAGATTGACGAGGTTGCCAAGGAAGTCACAAAGGAATCCAGGGAAGTCATGATGATAAAGTCCATTGATACACTAGCCAGTGTCATCAGGCAGACGTCCCAACGCTACTCTGGCAAATCTAAATTGCAGGCATCCAGAAAGCAAGAGAAAAGAAAATGGGGACCTCCAAAGGAGGAAAGGATTCTTTTCTTCGCCCATCCGGTAACTATAGAGGACGATCCGGACGAGGCAGGGCATCCAGAGGTGCCAGAGGCTTTAGACGATGAAGGACGGGTTCGGAACGACTGGAGTCTTCCACCCCCAGCCGTTCCTGTTCAACCTTCCCAAGCGGGTGGACGTCTACAACGCTACTGGGAGAACTGGGGAATTCTTCAAGACCAATTTGTATCCAACATCCTAAGAGAAGGATATCATATACAACTACAAGCAGCCCCTCCATTAACAGACGCACCTCAGGGGTTAAACTTTACGACCCATCGGACAGAGAGGCTGCGAGAAGCGGTCACATCTCTACTAGAGAAGGACGCTATAGAGGTGATAGATCAGGACCAGATCTCACCAGGATTCTACTCCCCAGTTTTCCTCGTACCAAAGAAAAACTCCCAAGAAAAGTTCCGACTAATTTACAACATGAGGACATTCAACAGAGATTATCTACGCAAACCAGCAAAATTCAAAATGATTCATCTGCCTCAACTACTACATCTAATCCGTCCGTTGGACCATATGGCCAGCATAGATTTACAGGACGCATACCTGCACATTCCTATAGATCCGGAATCAAGGAAGTACCTCAGATTCCTACTAGACGGATGACACTACCAATGGAAAGTCCTGCCATTTGGAATATCATCGGCCCCCTGGTTGTTTACAAGAGTGACGAAGCCCATAGTCACATACCTACATCATCGAGGTCTACGTAGTCGATATACCTGGACGATGGGATTCAGGCTCGTCAAGATCCCAGTCATCTCAGACTACAGCTGGACTTTACCATCAGGCTTCTCACTCAACTAGGGTGGCTAGTGAATCTCCTCAAGTCGGAACTAGAGCCTACACAGGACCTGCAGTTCCTAGGAATTCAGCTCATCACAACAGAAAACCGCATAACAGTACCAGAGGACCGTTGGCTAAAGATACAACAGATGGTATCGCAAGCTCTACTCTCTCCCTGGCCACTCCGACAGTGGCAGAGTCTGTTGGGTTTCCTCACGTCAGCACAGGATATGACGCGCAGAGGGAGATTACAAGTACGCCCACTACAGGTCTTCGTAATTGCACATCTGGACGATCCGGACCCCTTCGGACTCCCGGACAGACTAAAACCATATCTACTATGGTGGACTCAGAGATCGAATGTTTGCGGAGGCACCTACTTAGCAGAGCCGGAGTGCAAAACGCATCTCTATGTGGACGCCATCTCTCCAAGGATGGGGAGCACACCTCGACAACGTTACAAGAGAAAGATCTGCATATCAACATGCTAGAAATGAAAGCAGTCATAAACGCCATACTTCACTGGACCAGCATTCTAAAAAATGCTCATCTAACGGTACACACGGACAACTCCACAGTGGCGTTCTACATAAACAAACAAGGATCAACAAGGTCGGCAAACCTTCTGAACCTTTGCTTTCATCTGTTCAGCATAATAGACAATCTGAACATCCACATAAAAGCATGCCACATTCCAGGAGCCAAGAATGTGATAGCAGACGCACTATCTCGTCCAACTCAGCCATCCCCAACAGAATGGATGCTACATCCAGAAATCTTCAAACAGATCATACAAGAGATAGGAGCGCCACTAATAGACTTGTTTGCCTCAAGATTCAACAATCAACTGGTAACATTCGTCTCTCCAATACCAGATCCACGAGCATGGGCAACAGATGCTCTAAGCATCTCTTGGGAAGGACTAAACGCTTACGCGTTCCCGCCACCAGCTCTAATACCGAAAGTGTTGCAGAAAATCAGTCAGACGAGGAACCTGCAACTGATTTTGATCGCGCCTTACTGGCCAGCGAGAATATGGTTCCCCATTCTCATACAAGAACTAGGACCACCTCAACTGCAACTACCAGAGTGGACGAACTTGTTAGTACATCCACACACAAAGCAAGCACACGGCACCCCAAAGTGTTCGCCTACACACATGGACCGTGATCAAGGTGCTTGAATAAGAGAGGATATTCCGCCAGGGCAGCTAAAGCGGTCACGCGCTAGCTTTACGCCAAATCAACACGCAACTTGTACGACGACAAGTGGCGAAGCTTCGAGACATACGCTTTGAAAACAGGCTTCACAGCCATGAAAGCGACACACCCTCAAGTGGCGGACTATCTTTGTCACCTAAGACAAACAAAGCGGTTAAAAGGGTCAACACTCTCAACATACCTAGTGGCATTGAGCTCAGTTATCACTATGAGGACGAGTGTAAAACTGACTAAGGTACCAGAGTTACTGGCCTTACTACGCTCTTTTAAACTGGAGGACCAACAACAGAGATTTAAAGCTCCGGCTTGGGACCACAATATAGTTCTACGGCATCTCACCAGTGACACTTATGAACCATTAGATAGGACATCTTTTGAGTTCTTGACACAGAAAACTCTATTCCTGATTGCCTTAGCAACAGCAGCAAGGATGTCGGAAATACATGCTCTAGACTTTGAAAGGACACGATTTGATGAAAATCGAAACATCGTACATATGGGACTGAGATGGGACTTTATAGCAAAGAATCAACTGCCAGGTCAACCGGACAGACAATTCCACATCCCAGCATTATCATCAGTCCTTGGGCCACAGGATACACAGGACCTATCCTTGTGCCCAGTAAGAGCAAAAAATTCTACCTACAAAGGTCTAGGACCAGGAGACGAAAATTTCATCCCTATACCGGCAGAGACACAGACAGAGATCTCTCGCACTACGATATCGATATGGATGAGAACTGTCATTCTACGGGCCTACAAAGCAGCAGGACTTGATCCTCCACGAGCCTCCAATCCACATGAAATTAGAGCTCTGGCGTCAACACTCGCTCTACATGGGAATTGCTCTATCACAACGATAATGGAGGGCTGCTTCTGGAAATGGGACATGGTGTTTACCAGTCACTACCTGAGGGACATCGCCACTGAAGACGTCTCGGGCATTCACCATTTCGGCCCCCTTGTTGTAGCACAACAACTGACAGTTCCACAAAGGCGCTGAGACAGAGTCTCGCCTTTTTATCACATGACTTGCAAAAGCCAACACTCAGGAGAGTTACAGCTTTAGAGTCCATATGCACATCTAAGACAGACTAGCATGAGTGATAAGACCCAGTACTTGTAAGGACGTACTCGTACATAAGAAGGGTTGCTTCTCCGGTTGATGCATGCATCAAGAGATGGAGTTGTTAAAATCCACATATAATATATATGTTCACAGAAGCAAGGACCAAAAGTTGACAATTGTGGTCCCCCCATCAGAGAAAGCTGGAAGTAAGGGTTACAGCAGCAGCAGAGCCTAGCAGTAAATTGAAGTGCTACCAGGAAGTTCCCATAGGGGGGTATGCAAGACGTAAATCACCAAATTGGAATCCAGAAGTGGCTTGACCCACCACCAAATCCGTAGGATTCTACAAGCAATAATACATGAGTCAGGATAAGGAAAAATATGTAATTTTCTGAGTAAGATTGATATTTTATACTTATCCTGACTCATGAGGTAAGCCCTCCCAACCTCCCTGCTAGGCACTTTGGATTTCCCAGCAAATCTAAGTGTCGGGCTTGCAATTCGGAGAGAGTGAAGAGTGGGAAGACGGGTGGCGCCGTTTTCCCACCAAAACGGAGAGGGAGACAACTCGTGGTGAGTAGTGATTTTACGTCTGCTTTTTGAAGGAAGCTTCAAAAAGGAGATACAAGTGTTCCACTAACGTTCGGGGAAGGAAGGAGACAAGCAATAATACATGAGTCAGGATAAGTATAAAATATCAATTTTACTCAGAAAATTACATTATCTGGTGGTGTACTGGTGCCTTTTGGTAGTTTTGGAATTGTGAATAAAATATTTTTGGCATTTCCATGGCAACAAGTTTGACTTAGATTGAAATTAGTGGTAGTGCTCTTTTCTGGAGCAGAACTCTAAACCGTTCAATGTTTCTTCACCAAACTTGGCACATACATACATCTGGTGGTGTGCTGGTGCCTTTTGGTAGTTTTGGAATTGTGAATAAAATATTTTTGGCATTTCCATGGCAACAAGTTTGACTTAGATTGAAATTAGTGGTAGTGCTCTTTTCGGAGCAGAACTCTAAAACCGTTCAATGTTTCTTCACCAAACTTGGCACATACATACATCTGGTGGTGTGCTGGTGCCTTGTGGTAGTTTTGGAATTGTGAATAAAATATTTTTGGCATTCCATGGCAACAAGTTTGACTTAGATTGAAATTAGTGGTAGTGCTCATTTCCAGAGCAGAACTCTAAACCGTTCAATGTTTCTTCACCAAACTTGGCACATACATACATCTGGTGGTGTGCTGGTGACTTTTGGTAGTTTTGGAATTGTGAATAAAATAGTTTTGGCATTTCCATGGCAACAAGTTTGACTTAGATTGAAATTAGTGGTAGTGCTCTTTTCCGTAGCAGAACTCTAAAACCATTCACTATCTCTTCACCAAACTTGGCACATAGATTGGTCTGGTGGTGTACTGGTGCCTTGTGGTAGTTTTGGATTTCTGAATGAAATATCTTTGCATTTCCATGCCAACAAGTTTGACTTAGACTGAAACTGGTGGTAGTGCTTCTTTCTGGAGCAAAACTTTAAAAACCTTTCAATACTCTCCTTCCACTTTTCTGTATACACACACCAAAACATTTGACATAATCATAACTCATAGACATATTCATAAAGAGTATTTGGCCATTGCGGGGGATATTGATGACTTTGTCTTCTTGTTAAATAAGACACTACTAAATATTGGAAAAATAGGGTCAGTATTAATTACTGGATGGATGTACATTTAAAAAACACCAAAATCTCACACAAAATCATCCAATCACAGCTGTCAGATGATTCAGTCTGCACTGAAGGCTCCCTAAGTCTTCGTTAAACTATGGAATTTGATCTGGTAGAGTATAACCTAAAAGGGGCCTAAAACTATACACACTGACACACTGTCTGGCCAAAGTCTACAGTGCACATTTCATGGTGTACGGTACAAAACACAGTCATATAGAAGGGGTATAGACAATTGAGTGGTGGTGTCTGAGGTATCACAATGTTTAAGAAATACAGTTCGCTCTACACTTTCGCCCTGAACTATTATAATGTTAAAGCACTCGGACGCAAGCGTTCTCGTGCTTTAACTTTATATAGTTCGGGCGGAAAGTGTGCTTTATTACACCATACATGATGGTAGAGAGACCTGTATTTCTTTTCTAAGATGCCAGTTTAATACTTTCTAAGGATAATTACGATTAATCTAAGGCAGAAAACAAACGACGATGTCGGTGACCTAAATTAAGAATCCTCGCACAGGGCTAACTGGCACGCTGTTCTATTGATGTGTCTGCCCCCCTATGTTAAGACGAACCTTACCAGAAAAAACAAATGAAAAACAGTTTGATGCCGGTTTACATTCGGTTTAAACATCTTCTAAATTTTTCTAATTACATCTGTGATTAACGTAAACCATATGGGGCAATTTGAACGTCACATTTCTACTACCAACGTAAGTTTAGATCAGTAAATCCAGATGAAGATGAGTAGTCAAGCGACATTCCACGATTACATTGTGGGAATGTAAACATTGCGAACATTACCGTGCCGCTGAAAACGTGAGTCGAATTGAGATACTTTAACCGTCGTAAAACATAAACGTAATGAATCCACCAGTGATGTTATCTGCATGAAGCAACTGCAAACCTAGGAACGGGATGCAACAGAGTAGTTTACTGTAGGAGGCTGTACGAGGCAATGACAACTGACATGCATCGTGACGTCGGTTACATTGTGGCGTAATGCAAAATGTGTTCGATCACGAGGGGGCATACTAGAATGGCACAGTGACACCAATACATTGTGACGTAATGCAAAAAGGGCACATTATTGTCTGATTAAGTACTGTCGGCACCTTTGATCTTTCACGGAAGCATCTTAGAATCATTGTCAGTGTTTTCTATGCCTCTCATTAATCCTGTGTATGTTATAGGTGAAAGCAGTCCTTCAGGACTTCTATGAATCACTCTTCCCAATATCATCGCAGTTTGAGTTGCCACGTGAATACAGAAACCGATTCCTTCACACAAATGAACTGCGAGAGTGGTGAGTAATGTTGAAAACGTTTCAATATAACTATTGATTTCATGTTTTGACATTGCAGAAAACTGTAATTGCGTGTAAATAAGCTTGCCTTAATGCTGTAACCAGTGTAATTAGCTTCCCAGACGTTTCAAGTAGACAATGCTGTCTAGTAGGAATGGTTCATTGGTTGGATACTAGTGAAGATCCGGGTTAGAATTCATCTTCAGTAACCCATGCTTGTCATAAGAAAAGACTAAGGGGATCGGGTGGTCAGGCTTGCTGACTTAGTTGACATATGTGATCATTTCCCAACTTGGTAGATTGATGCTCATGCTGTTGATCACTGGATTGTCTGATACAGATACGATAAAGACCACCGCCATATAGCTGGAATATTGCTGAGTGTGGCGTAAAACAACAAACCAAAATCAAGAGTGTGGTGTAAAACTACACTCACTAACTCACTCATTGGTTGGAAGGGTACTGAGTGGGACTTTGGTACTGATCTGACAATTCAAACACATAGAATGAATTGCGTAATGGTGAAATGTGCTTGTCGACATTATATGATGTCATAGAGGTATAGGGGTGGTGGGGTAGCCTAATGGTTAAAGTGTCCTCTCATCACACGGAAGATTTGGGTTTGATTCCCCACATGGGTATAATATGTGAAGCCCATTTCTGGTGTCCCACTGTGATATTGCTGGAATATTGCTAATAAGGCATAAAACTATACTCACTCACCTGTAGAGATATATCAACAAAGAGTGAGTCAAACAAGTGACAAGTGATTGTGTTTTTGTAGGCGGCGATATCGAGACTGGCTGAAGTTCTGGACACATCTGGCGCTCATTGTCCTGGTCATCTTCACCATTGTGTCCTTCTTTGGGGACAAGGTAGGACTTCTTCAACAGGTTATCACCCCTACAGATCCGGGTAGAATTGATCTTCAGTAACCCATGCTTGTCATAAGAGGCGACTAACGGGATCAGGTGGTCAGACTCGCTGACTTGCTGTTTATCACTGGATTGTCTGGTCCAAATTCAATTATTTACAGACCGCTGCCATATTATCCCCCGCAACGCGTTTTGCGGGGGTATTAAAATGGACTCTGTGCATGCGTGCGTGCGTGCGTGCTTCCGTCCGTGCACATTTGTCTTTTCTGGAGCAGAACTCTAAAACCGTTCAATATTTCTTCACCAAACTTGGCACATACATGGATCTGGTGGTGTACAGGTGCCTTTTGGTAGTTTTGGAATTGTGAATAAAATAGTTTTGGCGTTTCCATGGCAACAAGTTTGACTAAAACTGAAATTAGTGGTAGTGCTCTTTTCCGGAGCAGAACTCTAAAATTGTTTATTGTTTCTTCACCAAACTTGGCACATACATAGATCTGGTGGTGTACTGGTGCCTTTTGGTAGTTTTGGAATTGTGAATAAAATAGTTTTGGCGTTTCCATGGCAACAAGTTTGACTTAGATTGAAATTGGTGGTTGTGCTCTTTTCCGGAGCAGAACTCTAAAACCATTCACTATCTCTTCACCAAACTTGGCACATAGATTGGTCTGGTGGTGTACTGGTGCTTTTTGGTAGTTTTCGATTTCTGAATAAAATATTTTTGGCATTTCCATGCCATCAAGTTTGACTTAGCAGGGGTGGAAATAACTTCAAAATTGCTAGTGTACTCCGGTACAGTGGCACATGTAAAATCACTTGCCCTGATAATTTTTCCACTATACCGGCCGTTTTCTTGTTGAATTTTTAAATAAACAACATAATTAACATTGGAATATCAACTGGACACCGGTACAGTGTGATATACAAACTTGCTTGCCGACAAGAAAAAAAAACTGGACTCGGGCGTCGGGCAATGGGTTATTTCCACCCCTGCTTAGCCTGAAACTGGTGATAGTGCTCCTTTCTGGAGCAGAACTTAAAAAACCTTTCAATACTCTCCTTCCACTTTTCTATATACACACCTAAATATTTGACATAATCATAACTCGTAGACATAATCCTGAAGAGTATTTTGCCATTGAGGGGGATATTGATGACTTTGTCGTCTTGTTGCTGGAATATTGCTGACTGCGGCATTATTAAACAACAACCAACCTGTAGTCAGGTTATCTTACTGTCTCATCAGAAATGTCCAGGTTCTTAATCAATGAATGTGAGCAATATTCATGAAAATAGACAATATCAGCTATTTTCAAGGTATTGATACCCTAGAGAAATTTGCGGTATCATAACTGTAAAACAAACAGTATAATGTAAATGTAAAGAGTGTTTTTTGAAATTTGTAATTGTGTAGTATCTGAAAATATTTATGTATGATGTAATTGGCATGTGTAATATCCTGGTGGATGTGAGCAGTATGAGCTATCGTGCTTGAAAACGGTACAAGAATCTGTATCAAAATGTTGCTGTCACGAAATGAAAGAATTTGTTATCCAAACACTTTGTCAATACAGAATAAGTGTGTTAACAAAATACAAAGTGTAAGAATTCAGCCTTGATAACATAATGACTTAAATTCTTTTGTTTGAAAGATCGAAGCTGCTCATCGCAGATTGGCCAGACTAACATCCAATAAAGGTGAAGATGGAAGTCAATCAGAAGAAGGGGGCGGATCACTTTCGACCAGTGGAAGTGGATCATCCAATAGCCAATCAAAACAAAGCCCTCTCCTGCCTGTTTGACGGTTCCTGCTCTGGCTTATCTCCCCTGATGTTGTCTTGGTTCTGCTTATTATAATTCTTGTTATTGTCATTGCTTTGCTTGTGATCGAGGTTAGAAAGTTCTAAGTGGACTTCATACTCCGTACAGTAAAGCATGGCAGAGAGTTGTGATAGGTGGAGATATACAACTACTTATATATCTGGTGCCTTCTTAAAGATGATCTCAACACAAACATATCACTAACATCTTATTTTATTTTGCAACTGATGAATATATTTTATAGCATACCTTGAGTCTGTCCATATTGACGGATTGAAGATATGCATATTGTGATGTGGTTTATATTTAGGATAAAGTCACACAGAGAATCTGCAGAGGACAAAAGTTTACGATTGTTTTCAGGTAGGAATGTAATTTATGAGTTAATCGTTCACCTGTGGTTAATATGTTACTTTCTTTGAGATAATGGTATTACACACGTGTCATGTAAGGCCAATTTATTGTTTCACAAATTTCATAGTAAACAGGATGAGAATTTGATTTTCTTTCATAAATTCTGGAAATAAATGTTTTACAAAAAAAGAATCATCTATTTTACAACAGGATCATTTTATGCCTGTACATAAATATATTGGTCTTGTTGAAGCACTTAGATTTAGACTGAAGAGTCTCTTTTAGTCATTTTCTAGAATATCTAGATTTTCAAAGAGCCGTCATGCTTGAATGATTAGCTGATAGTGAGGTACTTCAAAGTATCTTGCATTTACTGAGCACCAGATATAGAAGCAGATTGATATAGAATGCAAACTAACAAACTAATTTTCAACCAAATATTTCATATTCACTGACCTATGAAGAAGACAGTTGACCATATTCTGTGGTTCTTTTTTCATTCTTGGTTTATATTACATGAATTACTATACAACTAGGCTGTAAGTCTGGAGGTCAGAGGTAGTCACCATTTAGGCCATGGCACCTTGATGCAAAGGAAAATCTTGAAAATTAGTTTGTTTAACTTGTGTGTATCCAAGATATCAGGGTAGATTTGACAGAGCGAGGAAGTTGTTTTCTCATATTATTTTCATACCATGCATCAATCATCATATTTTTTCATTTTCATTATTGAGAGACCAGAATGGTTTGTCTTCAAGCATGGCTTGATGTAAGCCAAGTTGTATGAAGTACTCTGCTGTTTTACCTTGGGTAGGCAGCTCTAATAAGTTTATATTTACTCCCTGTGTGGGCAGTATGTCTTGTATATATGATTGCTTCTTTTGAAGTTATACAACCTGGGAACAAGTGAACTAGTGGTCGATATAGTAATTATTAACTTGCACAGATTAAAACCAAGTATTGCCCAGTGAGGACACCCAGGGGGTGATATCTATCATACTTCATGACACCTAGCAAAGTGATAGTTGTTTAAAGGTGTTGAAAACACAGAACCTGCACAGAAAACCAAAGTATAACCAACTTCACCAGGATAAAATTACTTGTTTTCAGAACACACCAGATGAGTTACCATTACATTTTCCCCATGTTATTGTATAATGTAGCTGATGTGTTTTCTATTTTTGAGATGTTGAAAAAACAAGTCATCTTCCTTGTACATGAGGGGGGCAGTGTGGTAGCCTAGTGGTTAAACATTTGCTCATCATGCTGAAGATCAGGGGTTTGATTCCCAACATGGGTGCAGTGTGTGAAGCCCATTTCCTGAGTCGTGATATTGCTGGAATATTGCTGAAAGGGTCATTAATCCCAACACACCCAATCTCTCCTTGTGCATTATGAAGAAACACTGTACACTATCAACACCTCCCTGCTTAGTTGGTCTTCCATGATGGCTGCACACTCAGGTCTGTCCATGATAAGAAGCCACTTGAGTAGCCATGATTTTAACACTCACATATGCCAAACAGTTCATATTTGTCTTAGCATAGTCTAAGCCAAAATGCATCTAGATCCCATTTCTCTTTTATGCCTGAAACAGAAGTGTCTGAATAGTAAAGTTTTCTCCCTTGACATTATCGACTCCGCACCCAAGCTTGAATACTGGTGTACCAATAAAATCCCTGGACTTAATGGTTTATCTGCAGTTCCTTCATAGTTTTGATAATTGAGGTACCATTTTCACTTTAGTTCCAAACATCTCAATTAGCAATGTCTGTGAAGCCCAGTCTGTTTTGGTAAGCATTAAGGCACGTTTGTTTTACTATATTTATTGCTGAAATTGAATAATGGTAGTTCTGTTTTTCTTGTAAATATTTCCTAGTACAATTAGTGCTGTTTATGTATATAAGGAATCAACCATTAGATATTCTGGCAAGGACCTTCAGATTTTATTAAAAGATGTCAGCTGTCCAAGTAAATGTTTGAAAAACATATTTAGGCTCCAAACTGTAAATAAAAAGGAAATTCTGATATAAGTCATGTTGTTGCTAGATGTGTTTTGGAAAAATAGCTTCTTGTTTAAAGAATATCTTATTTGGCACCTTTTACTGAAAAATATCACAGGCCAACCTCACCTTTTCCAGATATTAAATGGTTGGGCCCCAAGGTTGTGTATATATCAAGGCTTCTATTGCTGTTTTTGTACATACAGAGTTATTTAACACCTATCATCATGTCATAATATTATACAAGTGCAAACATGTCGTAAATACTCATGAGTATGTTTGGATTACACCAACAAGACAATTGATATGTGATATAGGAATGCTGAAAAGTCCCATTAGGTTAGGCCATCATATGTTATAATATTTGCCACTCATCCAGCGTTCAAAATAATCGCCGGCCCAGAGGCCCAGTGCTGGTTGTTATTGTATCGGGCCGGCAGTTTCAAATATTTGCAGGCCCTTGTGGCCTTCAGTAAATTATCTGTCAATGTTTGTTTTTGTCAACTGGAATATTTCCCATATTGTTTTTGTTTATTAACGTTCAGGAATCATCCATGATCCATCATGTTGCGATAACTTACAGTTTCACTTTCTGATATTTCAGCGCTTTGCGCGTAGGAATGTCAATGCCAGTCTTTAACAAATACAAAATTCTCTCAGCGCCATAGGTTTCGCTAATTGAAACAGTGTGAAACTGTACATAGTATAATCTATTTTGTTTTCATTGGTTTGACTTTAACAAAATGGGCCAGCAGATTTCATTCAGGGCCTGTAGATTCTAAGGCCTGCAGCAGCAGGAGGCCCTGATGGCCAATTGGTAAATTAAAGTATTGCAAACACTGCACTAATCTGCCAAAACACTCATCAGACATAATTCTGTAGTCTCCAGATAATAATCACTGTGGTTCCTCCCCCCATGTTAGGCCGTAAGAGTCAACGTAATGGGTGGTCAGTTTCAATGACATGCATTACATGAACTCAGTTGTCCAGCCCTACAAACTTCTTAAGCCAATTCTTAACACATTGGCTACGATTAAAGTTAAGAATTCTTATGGCTACGAACGTTTCAAAAATCTAGGCCCAGACTGTTCTTTACAGTCGGCCACGATATAGCTGGAATATTGTTGAGTGGCGTTAACAAACATTAACAGAGTCCCCTTCTTACTTCAATGATGAAATACCTCATGTCTAGTCCAACTAAACATTGGTGCTTTATTTTAGAAATACTGATTTAGTAAAAGGCACCTGTCTTCCTTCTTTAAACAAATACATGAAAATGTGAGCATTCTTTTTATGGCTTATATTTGATCTAACCAGTCTCCTGTGTAAGGTAATAAAGTATATGTATTGTCTAAAATGTCAAAAATTATCTTGGCTTCTACATGATTTTATAAAACATATTCTGTTTCATCAGTCCAAAATATTAAGCTAAACTATTGTTGACATGCAGCTGAAATGCAAAAGGTAGAATCTGAAAAAGAAGAAATAGCAGTGTTTGTTTTTTCATCCTACAAACCAGAAAAAAGTAAAATGTCATAAACATAGTAACATAATGTCACTATGAGTATAAATATGTTATGTTTCAATGTAATTTGTCCAAGTTCAAATGTGGGAATATATCTGACAGTATCATTATTCACTGTATCCGTCAGCTGGAATCATGCATGTATTTTGTAAGAGGAATTGATTTATGTATATCCTCAGTTTCAAACCACTATTCTTCTGTTAAATACTATAACACAACCAAGTTCATTGCTTAATGGAGTAACTGAACCACTCATTTAATAAATATGTTATATATTCCTTATCAAGCCCCAATTCACTATGACAACATACTCGATACCATATTTCAGTATTACACAAATGTACATTACGGTGACAGAGGCTTCATAACAGAGCCAACACTGCAATATGTATTTATAGTAACGTGTTATTACACCATTGATTTGAACCTAATCTGTATCGACAAAGTGCTACAAACCCATAAAGAATTTGTTGTGATTTCAATATGGCTTGATGCAGTCAACACTTAGATTCTTTAACTTGTTATAATGAGACTGTATGATTTGCTGGCGGCAATATGTTAATTCCTGTACGCTGCCCCTACATGTCTACGTATGTTTAAGTCATATCACAATTACCCTGTTGTTGATAAAAGGGGGACATTTTGTCACTGTCAACTTCCGTATCATGAGGAACACAATGTTTTGGAGTATATTCGTCCTCCTTCATGAGGAGGCGGTGGGGTAGCCCAGCAGTTAAAGCGTTCGCTGAAGGCCCAGGTTCGATTCCCCACAATATTGATAAAAGCGGCATAAAACCCAACTCACTCTCTCAACTCCTCCATCAGGACGTCAGATACAAATAGCCATGAAAAGTGGCAATGGAAGATATTGCCCAGCATTTGGGACTTAAGTTAATTATGTGTGCCACAATGATTACGGCCTAATCTGTTGAATTTTGAACAGCCAGCAGTGCCGATCCGTCAAATCATGCTTGAGTGGTTCTATGCTAATCGGTCAAATTTCAGACTGTGTTAACACACTGGGAGAGTCTAAGTTCATTAATTAAGGGGTCGGCTTGTATTGGATTAGACTAAATGGTTTTTTTAATTAACAAGAACAGATTCCGGTGAAGACTTCCTGATTGCTGACATCGAACTGGGTATCATATGTTAGGCAATTACTATTTAGTTATGGCTTTGGATGGACGTGGCTTGCACAGGATATAGGTAAGGTAGGCATAATTTCTGTATACAAAATTCTCGGCGGGCTAAAAGCCCTAACCCTGATGCATCGCGACCACCACGATAGCTGGCACTATCGTCAATTAGTGCTATGTACCCCCTTTTCCCTATTACCTGTCAGTGATTAAATCCTTCTCAGTGTTTCTTACCTACCAGACCTATTTACACCTGGATTTACTACAGAAATTGGCATCCATAAATTTTTCCATTATAGTGGTTGCTTCTAAGATTTGATACAGTTGATGTGTGGATTGGGAGTTCTGAACATTGTAGAATTATGTTCTCACAACTTTCATCCTGTGTGGAACTCTGTGACAGCTAATGTCTGAAACAAGGAAGCAATAACAATGGGCTAATGTATTATAAAATGTCTTGGGGGTGTTGCTATGGTTACAAAACAGGTAAATTCTTAGCACCTTATTATAGTTGCACATTTATGTATATTTGTGTAGCTATATGTGTTTGTGTTAAGCTACTGTTCTGTTTGTTTGATGGAGAGAAAACATTTAGACCACATATGTTCTTACTCTGATATAGATTTACATATTCAAGCAAGGTAGAAGATATGACCAGTTGTATATACCTGCTGGTATATGGTTAACATGAGATGGGCATCATTTCTTTGTATTTTGACGAAGAAGCGAGAATAACAATTACATAATGTTTCAAACATCCATTTGAATGGGATATCACATACAAAAGAATAGATATTGCAGATGACAGTGCCTTTTTCCCCCTTTATTCTGAATTGATGAAATATATACTCCTCAATGTTTCATAGGGATAATCATGTCAGATATTGTTACATACACAATTGACATTAGAATGATTTTTGTGTATCATAAAACTGTTCCTATCAAACATGGAGTCGTATAAATCATATAGTGTACTTATTCCAAGACTTGTAGAAATGAAATTGTTATGACTGATGGTGAGCTTGTCATCAAAATCAGTTGCGGCCATGTGTATTGAATGATATCATGATTGCAGGTAACATATAGTTTATTGTCTTCAATGTTTGTTTCTAGTAAGGTGTAGCTTATGTGTAAAAAAAAGTCTACCCGGGTAATTAAAGGCAGATCTTGCTACAAATACTATGTGAAAGAATGATCACTGGAAAGATAGAAGAAATTGTTTTATAGATTAATTGATATTTGCCTAAATTATTTTTTTCATCCAAAAGATTTTCAAATTTATAGGATTCAGGCAAATGCAAGTTAATTTCAATTCTCCATTTTTTTTTGTTATTTTGCTGAAACATGGGGCAATATAACAGTTTCTGCAAGTCTTGTCAGAATTGTATACCAGTTTTAAATCTTATGAAACATTCCAAATACCTCAGTACACAAGAGAGTTCACTGAAGTCCCAAACTATTATTTGTGCTGTTGTCAAATGTATCATTTTGTGTTTTGTCGTAGCATTTTATACAGTTACCTTGTTTGTGTGTGTCATTGCTAAAGACTGGGTTATGTTGTGTATGGTGTGGCTGTCTGCGATGTTACTGCTAAACATCCTAAGAAACAATAGTTGACAATTGAACCTGCTTATTTGCATAATCCGCACAGTTAATATTACCAGCAGGGGTGAAAGGTTTGCTCTTGGGCCAGTCAGTTTTGTTCCACTGCTGCTTTGTTTGGTTTTGGAGATTGGTATTTCATTTACTTCCAGAGAAGTATTTCTGTGGGACTACCATATCTGAAAATATCATTATCCTGTACGATTCTTTGATGACTTTGAGCAGCTTTGATATGTGTGATGGCACGAAGTTTAAAGCTGTCCCCTGTTGAATGGACATGGATTCTTCCATTGTACATGGAATGACTGCTTTCCAAAAAAGTGTTCAAGAGTTCTTGGTTTGTTTAGCATTACATTTAGAATACACATTTTCATGGCACTAAAAAGTGTCGACGGGTTTATTTTCATTGTGTTTTGTTCTGAGGGGACCATGCAGTAGTGGGATTTAATTAGTTGTGAAACTACAACATTTGTATATTATTGCAATGAATTTTGGAAATTCAAGTTAAGTCGCATATTTGTTTTGCAACACACAGGAAACATACAAGTTATAATATTTACCATTTTTGTCTGGTGGTCACGGGTATGAACACTCCACAGAATGTGATAGTAAAAACTTGTCATTTATGTAACTTCAACAGGTGAAAAAAAATAACCACATATTTTTTAATTTATACATTAAGTATGACATTTGTAAATAACTATCACAGATAAAAACCGACCTGTGAACATGTATGAAATGACAGAAAACAATGCACGCAGATGTGCAATAGCTGGTATGGTTTGTAGTTTTACAGCTATTCAATAGACATGCTACTTTCCTTATGACATTAGAAAAATATTGTGTGTGTACCAAATGGTATGCTATTTCACTATTGATGTGTACTGTGGGTTGAGAGTGAAAGAAAGAATAAACTATTTAATATTTCACTGTTTTTATTGTCAGTTCATTTGTCAACAAGGGGGAGTTCAAAACCTAGGACTCGTGAAGATCCGGGTTAGAATTGATCTTCAGCAACCCATGCTTGTTGTAAGAGGTGACTAACGGAATTGGTTGATCAGGCTGACTTGATTGACACTTGATTGATTGACTTGATCGTATCCCAATTACGTAGATCGATGCTCGTGCTGTTGATCACTGGATTGTCTGGTTCAGACTCAATTATTTACAGACCGCCTTCATATAGCTGGAATATTGCTGAGTGTGGCGTAAAACTAAACTCACTCACTCCCAAGCCTTGGAGTGACAGAATGGTCAGACTCTGTAACTTGAGTATTGTAATTATCCATGCAATACAAGTTATGTATCTTTACATTTCTACAAGCATGGTGAGTACAACAGAAGTCACTGCAAGCTTCTTATTATGCCATTATAAACTAGCGGCAAAGGACATTGATAATGTGTCTGGCAATGCACTGTCTGGTCCAAACTTGAATATTTACAGGCTGCCATGACAATACAGTTTGCTAAGGGACCACATTTATGGCTACTAGGGGTGATGATAATTTTTATTGAGAAGCATGTTTCTCCCCCCTCCCCCCCCCCACACACACACACACACCCACCTTAAAATCATCACCACCCCGCCAGACATAAATTATGAACGGTCCCTCACTGCAAAAATACTTATCGTTGCTAGAGGTGACAGGTGGTCAGGCTCGCTGACTTGGTTGACACTTCATCATGTCCCTCCTTCGTAGATTCATGCTCATGATGTTGATCACTGGATTGTCTTGTCCACACTCAATTACTGGAATTTAACCACAAACTGACAAAAGCAAGAATATTGAACTAACAGTTGGACTCTATACCACCTCACATATTCTCCCAAAATCAAGTCACTGTTTGCTGTGAACACATGGTATCATCTTGCCTCAGGACGTACATGTTGCAGCAGGCTCCAGGACATGGCGTTGATGAGTCCAGGGTACCTCGTATGGAGGTCCTGACCTCCACTCTCAAATCTCAGAGTCTTAGGGAAGCCCTCCACAGTAGCTGAAACAGAACACAGGTCATCATTATTTTGATTACTGGTATTTAACATTATGTTTGATTAGAATTGTTTTTACTCTGTGTCCTTACTCAGACCAGGATCAACTCAATGTTTGTTTTGTTTGCTATTGTTTAATGTTTTGTTGCTTATTGTTTTGTTTGCAGTAGTTTTCCATTTATTTGAAATGTCAACCAATTAAGTAAGCCTGACTACCCGATCCCGTTAATCAAAAGATTGTGTTGTTAAAGACCAATTCTAACACAGATCTTGATTCTTCACCGGTATGTTTGTTCAAACCTCAGATTTGCCCTAATCAAGATCTGTGGTAGGTGGGCTCCATATTCCTGCTTGTTAATTTCGAGTTTCAGTCCTCATATAACACAAATATATAATATGTATCATTTTGACTTAAATATCTCACCTCCAGCACAGATCTTGCCATCCTCCCCAACCAACATCTCTCGATCATCACCGATTCCCATCAGTTGGATGAATTCTCGGTAAATGTGTTCTTCTATAAACTTGTCACCAGCAGAGTAGAACACAGCACATGGAAGCATCAACATGTCCGCAGCAATCAGCAGTCCAGCAATCTGATTGGGTGAATGCAAGACATTGTTAGGACTCATGTCATCATTACACCTTGTCACACATTCAGAAGCAAATGTGAATCTGTTACATACACGGTATTACTGTTATACAGGTACACTGCAATGAGCTTTTCAAGTGAAAGGGGTATTGCAATATTTTTTACATGTTTCGGTATACATCTGAATATAAAAAATAACAAGTTTGGTTATCATTGAATCTTTAAACCTAACATTCACACAAAAATTAATTCACAAAAGATTTTCCGCTTCAAAATGATTCCTGTATCACAATTTAAGACAAGTCAGAAGAATATTAGTTGACGATTGGTCGCGTACATTCATAATGAAAGGCTCCAATAGTCCACCTACTGTACATGGTACAACTGTCCAGGCAACCATTCACTCCAGTGTGATTCCCGACTGACACAGTTGAACCCATACACACCCGATTACATGGAAGTTTTGTTGGTTGTTTAACGCCACACTCAGCAATATTCCAGCTATATGAAGGTGGTTTGTAAATTATCGAGTGTGGAGCAGACAATCCAGTGATCGATCTACGCAACTGGGATACAATGACATGTATCAACCAAGTCAGCGAGCCTGACCAACCAATCCCGTTAGTCGCCTCTTACGACAAGCATGGGTTACTGAAGACCCATTCTAACCAGGATCTTCACGGGTACCATGAAAAAGCAAAGGAAGCAGCTGAAAGAGTTGACAGATAACTATTCTAGTAACAAGTCGTTACAGCCACAGTCTTTTTACGATTGTGCAAACGTTTAAAAATAATAGTTGTACATTGATCACAATAGCTGTACAAAAATAACTTGCATGTTAAAAACAGAAGAAAGTGTAAACATTACTCAGACGTTTTGAACAGGAAGTAAGCATCTAAATATCATGTGTCAATGAAGTCTGCAATCCCGACCACCTGATCCGGTTAGCCTTTTGCAAGTATGGGTTGCTGAAGACCAATTCAATAACTTCATGTAGGATTACCAGCACTGTCTACATATCATACCTCATCGAAGCCAATGTTTGCGACAGTTTGTGATGTTCTTATAACATCATTTATGCTGTGTCCCTGCAGACCTAGTGACTTGGCAGCTCGTCTGGCCAGTAGTCGACACATGAAGCGTAGAGCTGGCCTATCCCAAAGTGATGATATTCGTTGGTGTAAGCTGTATGGATTTATTCCCCTGTACAGGAGTAAATGTGATTATGTAGATCTAATCTTCTACTAAATGGCAAGATGTCACAAAGCCAAGTGAGAACTTGGCCAGAATATACAAAAATCATTTCAAGAGGTTACAATCCTGTTTTTGTCAGATCCTAGCTGTGATCAGATCTTAACTCTCTCACTTCTGAGCACTTAATTCTCAACTTATTGAAATTGTAATGGCTATATTAATTAGCTTTGAGGTAAATCTATCAAAGTAAACAGGAAAAGTTATAGCTAAGAGAAAACTACAAGCAAAATATTCAATCAAACATACGATCTTTATTATACCAAAATAAGTTGGTTTAACATTATTTATAGAAAGAACGTGTTAACGCCATGAGCATGCATGAGTGGGAGGACACTGGTGCTTTACAAATATCCACCATTGTTATTATTAACTGCAGACATGACCTAGTAAGGGGTGGTTTAATGGAAGAATATATGATTTCTAAATGTGCTCTTCATACAGCTTGAGATTATGTATATATCTGTATTAATTTGAATTACATGGTAATGAACACAAAAGACAATGTGTCTATGACTTCAATGTACCAATTGCACTGACATAAGGTTTCTCAGTTATACACCTGTGTCTGTGTCTTCCCAAAAGCAATAAATATTTCATAAAAGGTAAAGTTTATCACAAGAAATACCAACAATGTTGCATTCCCCTGCACTGTACTGTAGCATGTGAGTGTTTGCTCTGTTCCTTCTACCCCTGTACCACCCTCTGTTAAAGATGTCAACTTGTACACATAACAACATGATAGTTTCTTTACTTTTTCCAGTGATGTGTATAAAACTAAGAAACATCAGATATTGTCGAGTACAACATATTCATTGCCATGTACCATATTTCCATTTACTGGATGATTTGGGGTTATTTTGCAATTTCATTGTTCTCATTTGGAGACAAACAGACAGTATATGCAAAATGTATTGTTATTAAATATATATATAAAATGTCTTATGCATGATAAGACCAGTATACATGCCTTATGAAATGAGTGTAATAGAATAGAAAACAACATATCTAAGACCTGCATCACTTTGAGAGAAACAGGGAAATGTATCATCAACCTTATCACACAATCTAAGAAAACACAGCAGAAAAACCCACTGAAATTGTCGATGAGGCCAGGGGGAGATAAGCACCGCTGCCTTAAACAAGTGGGCTGTCTCCTTTGTGGTAGCAAGTCGTAAGAGTGGGTTGCATGCTGAACCATGACCAATCACCAGGTCCACACTGAAACATACCAATCAGTGACAGTGAACAAAATGCATTTCATCCAAATGTAAAATATTTTCAGCATGACAAGCAAACACTTTAACCAGACAGGAACCCTACCATCCTTTGCCTTTAATGAATAGCGTGGGATGTAGACGTAATGGACGTAGATACCAACTACTCAAGATACAACTCACCTTTCAACACCCAGGTTGTTAAGAAAGTCTCTGATGAATTCAGCCTTTTCATCAGTGGAGTGAGTGAAGACATCATTGTAAGGAGCAATTATACCTTCTGTGTAATCAAAACCTGGGAAAAATATTTATACAAACATATGTAAGCCAGGTGCTCAATTACAGGGTTAAAACCATTTGTGAAATTGACACTGTTCCATCTTAAAGTTACGAGTCTTCTAAGAATTTAACAGAAAATAAGACAGACAAAAGGATTCAAGGATTTCAATGGCTTTTGTCCCATGTGATATGGACCGCCTCCCTGGTGTCATGGTTAGAGCATCCGCCCGGAGAGCGGAAGGTCACGGGTTTGATGCCCAGCCACATTTTACCCACACATGTTAAAATATGGTACTTGTTGTTCCCTGCCTGGCACTCAGCATTAATGAATAAAACAAGGACTGGTCGGCTTGGAGCCAGTATAATGCTTAACTGCGGCATGGTATCTAAGCGAACTAACACTATATAAAATCAGCTTAAGACTGGGCTGGTACAAGCAGCCACACATACACATGCATGCACATCGCCATATGACCGAAATATTCTTAAGTACAACGTTAAACCCCATTTCACCACACCTTACCCATGTGATAAAGGAATTATCATATTATTTAATCATAAATCTTCACAACACAAGATATGATGAATAAAATAGATAAGCAAGAAGTAAATAAAACAAATTTTGACCTTGAAATTTTACTTTCAAGTGACATTCAGATATCAAGATAATGAGGTTGGCTATAAGTTTCTCTGTTAAGTCATTGCTTCAAATCACAAATGACTGCATTTTTGCAACGATGACAAAATAAGTAACAAACAAATTAAAAACTAAAAAAGTATACAAAATACAAAATGTCAGTGGTAAACGTATTCTTATTATGGGTTTTGCATTTCTATACCTGGAAAGTTTGGGGCTATGACTCTACATCCGAGTTTGACGAACGGTTCCAGTAATGGGGCCAGATCTTTATGTGAACCCGGCGACGAGTGCAGCCCCAGAACAGTGGGCGTGGCACGGGTCCACTGCTTGTCCGGCATAGAGTCACCGTACCCGACATCAAACACCAGTCCATCTGGAATATCAGCCCAGCGGCCTATCGACGTATGTATGTACAAATACCTGACCGGTAACTGTAAGTCGGGTGTGTTAGAATGTCCACTGAATCTTGAATGTGAAGTTCGTACGAAGCGTCTAAACTGTAACCTTGTCGAAAGGTTCGCTGGCGCCGATGCAAACGTCTTGGATGCATCGTAAATAGACCAAGTAACCAGTCTCTTCAAGCATGACGTGCATATATTTTTCGTGAACATGGTTCCTAATACACCAACGAGATAGAATCCTGTCAACAGTTGTCACAAAAACACATGTTGCATGGAGGCAGACATGTTGGATCTCGTATATTCTCGTGAGATTTTTGGTTTTCATAAGTTAAAGAGCGGGAAATTCGCATGTACTCGGGCAACTACGGACATTTTTTTAACAAAAAGAAAAGAATTAAAACACCAATTAGCAGCTCTATATGTGTCATGAGGTAGTTTGTACAGAAAATTAGAAAAAGGTCTAAAGGACACTTGGTCCAATGGTTTTCTCTTAGTTCTTCCCAATGTCCACATCACATATTTTTTGGTTGCATGTGACCTTTATCACATGCAACCAAAAAATCAAACATAATTAAAACACAATTATCACTTATTCATGACATATAATATACATTGCTGGTTATGAAAAAACATAAAAACAAAATTATAAACGTACAATCACAAATCAAAAGTGCAAAATTTTGTACTTCGGTTTACTTCCCAAGAAACGAAGCAGCCTGGATACTGAACCCAGTCAGAGCGGGCTGGTGTGCACTCAAGTGTAACGGCTGGTTCATTTGCAGATGCCCTCACGGCTCATTGTGTGTGTATATATAGAGATGTTGGGTTTTGTAAATACATGCTCATTTTTTGTGTATAACATTTTGCAATCAACAGACATCATAACATGTCATGTGTACAAGTATCACACCTGCCTGTCTGTGTAATTACATAATGAGACCAACTGGGGCCATAAATCAATGCGTTTTATTCATGGTGTATAGCCTGATAGGTGTTAAGTTCAAATTGCATGTGGTCAGTGATCGCAGTTGTGTATTGAATATTGTCATTAGCAGACAGGCAGGCAGATACATAGGTGTCAATTGAGTTTTGTCTGTGACAACGACATATCTATATTACAGTTAGAAATTCTGTCAACGTTAAATAATGACATTGCTTTTAAGTATCGAACCCGAGAAAGTGACTGGGTAAGAAGAACGTGTGGTGAAATAGACAAATGAAATTATATAAACAGTTAAATCGGTAATCTACTGTAATAACATATAAAAAGCTCACGCCTGTGAAATATCAACAAAACATTAGAAAATTAGCTCACACCAAAGCCTTCAACGAGTATTAACTGGACAACCCGCTTCCAAGCTGCGCGAACCTATTTCACTGCGCATGTGCTATGAGCGCAGCCCAGCTGTTGAAACCACTTCAATTCCCCCAAGCGCTGGGGGAAAATTAGTGAATCTTTATAAGCTGAATTTGCATTTTTGATGATTTGTTTCGGTAAGTCCATACCGAAAAGGTAACAGAATCTGCAAAGTTGTGTTTTACGTTGCATGTGAACTTTAAGTTAGGCTAGTCCATTTTTCTGCTAAGAACAAAGATTCAAAGTATAATTTATAAGGGAAGACAATAGCATAATACATCTTTGGACTGAACTAAAGTGGAGACGTTTTCTGACTGTTTCTACATTTGAAATACCAGAATATATTAATGTATTAATGTGTAAGACTCATTGCTGCGCAGGATGTTCCAATGTCACTCCAGTGTAACGAATTATCAACTTTCTTAGTTTCAGCCTAATTGTAAACCCATTTGGTCACAAAAATATAAATGATTCATCAATATTCAGTTGTAATTTTCACACACAAACGTTACTGAGTAAAGGGAAACATTAAAGTATCATATGAAATGGTAAATTTGCTGTAAAATAAATTTCAAATGTGACATTCAATTGCAATTTTTAGAACTGACCCTGTACTGTAGTTGACTTATTTGGGTTCTCAAAGTTCAGACAAATAATCACAACTCACTTTCACTTCTTAAATTATTTAACCTTCGTGGCTGCAACCGCTATCTTTGTTCACACTGGCAAGCTTGGTTGTAACGGCAGCTTAGCTGATTTGCTACTGTGAGCATGCAGGGCCACCAAAGGGAGGTAATAAAATTATCGGGCCAGGCGATAGATGCATCCAGGGTACTTGTGGAGATTTATCTGAACACATACCCTGGAGATTATCGAGGATGACAAATAATTTTTGCTGCACAATAATAACAAAATGACAGATGCAAACATGGCCCCCTGTGAAACTCATATCGGAGACCTCATATCTGCAGTTACCTTCTTAGTATGAGTGTGTGAGTAAAATTTATAATGGCTATTTTCAGTTCTGTCTTAAGCAGTCAGTTTAAAGTTGGGGGGCAGTCCATACGACTTGGCAGTGATATGTGCTTCTCGTATAAAACCTATAAGCACTAGTATGATCCTCACAGGTCAAGGATCAAAATCAAGTCTGGTCCAATATTTAAACCCATAATGAACAGATCCTGCTCCAAGCAAGGGATGCAACAACTCTGAACAGCAGTGTTTCAGGTCACAGAACATCTATGTCCATTTCTTAGCAGGGACAAAGCTGATATTTACAGACCACCGCCATACAGCTGGAATATTGCAAACAAACAACAAACAAAACTTTTAAGAGATGGTTTAATTGACCAAGCAGCTCTTTCATACAGTATGTACAATTGTGAACATGGAAACTGTGCACTATTCCAAGCAGTAAGCTCCCTACTTCAGTGTTAAACACTTATAGTATGACCAGAAATTATTGAGAATTTTAGGAATATGTTTAATTGGATTTCTAGTATAAACAACCTTGACCAGCTATCAAGTGCTTGGTTTCATTCAAGAGAGACAACTCCGTTAATCCTTTTTCATTAGTTTGTGAAGAGTTATCCCCCTTTGTTTACTTGCTAGCAGACGTCATTTTCAGTGAACCTCAGTATGGATGATTTAGAGAAGAGGAAGTTGATTTTAGAGTATTATAACAAGGACATCAGATCAGCTAAAGTGATTTCAAGTAGAACAGGCATCCCTTTGTCAACTGTTTATCTTGTTTTGAAAAATATTGCAAATGGATATGGCACTGAGCACCAGGGAGGCGCAGGTAGGCCCAAAAAATTGACTGTCGGGGACAGGAGGCGGCTTGGTATTCTTGTTTCTAAAAACAAACGAAGGAGTTTAGAAAACGTAAGGCTAGATATGATTGATAGAGGAACTGTGGCTGTCTGTAAGGAGACAATTAGAACTGAGCTGCATGCAATGGGTTGGCAGAAAAGTCGTGGAATTCCATCACAGATCATGAAACCTGAACAAAAGGAGCGAAGGTTGAACTGGTGCTTACAGCATAGAAATTTTAACTGGGCCAATGTGATTTTCTCAGATGAAAGTTCTGTGTGGCTGTTTCCTAATACACTGAAATTCTCGACCAAACAAACTGAAAAACCTTTGTATCAGCGCCCAAAGTACAGTCCGAAATTTAACGTGTGGGGTGGCATATCTGTAATAGGGGAATGCCCCTCTGTGTATTTGAAGGGAATATGAACAGTGAGCGGTACACAGATATTCTCGAGGGGCATTTACTTCCATCTGCTCATGTGTTCTATGGATTTTTTTATTATTTTCCAGCAGGACAACGACCCAAAACATCGTTCAAAGCATTCACAGGCCTGGTTTCGGACCCAAAGTATGACATTATTAGATTGGCCAAGCTATAGCCCTGACCTAAATCCAATAGAAAATGTTTGGGGGCTTATGAAGGAAAGGGTCAATAAGAAACATCTGACACATATTGCTGAAATGAAAGAAGAGGTGGTCCGATAATGCCCCGCCGCATTGAAGCCTGCATTGCTGCCCATGGTGACTTGACAAAATACTAACTGTTCACCTGTCTTTGAATCTGGAGCTATGTTCTGCTAATATTCACATTTAATACGTGAGTAATGAGTGAAAAAAATAAAACAAAATTACAATCTTAAATTCTCAATAATTTCTGGTTGTACTGTACTAGAATGTCTACATTGTACACCTTTATCTCATGTGATTCACTTCCATAGTAAAATAAAGGCAGTGTAATGGAGCTTATGGGAATTTTTCAGTCATTGCTGTAACTTTGGAATTCCTTGAGTGCTTTCAGCCAGCTTGATATGGTAAGAAAGTTAAAGTGACAAAAACTGTACACATGCACTGTTTAAGGCCTACCAGGACAGGTGGAGGCCAAGGTTCGTAACCAGGAGAACCTTGAATTCAAACCCAAGACCAGCAGATCCTTGTCAGCAAGCCTTTGGCTGAAGATAAGCTATTGCATAGCAAGTTGGAGCAACGTAGCCAATAGTGTTTCATATAGTAAATATCATACACAAGGAATAAAAATAGCATTATGCAAGCCTTGGTGAGCATAATACACATTATATATTCCTAATACATGCTAATGATGTATATGATATGAAAGCACATGAAGGTAGGTCATAACCTCATCATTACACAGTTTACTTAAAGTAATTAAAGGTAAGGACATGTTCACACTGCTATTCATTGTGCACTGAACTTGGTGTGGAAATGAAAGCCTGAAAGAATCACCCTATTATAGTGCTGACACACACACATTAGGGAAGTACTATCAAATCTTTTGGTGGAAGTAAATACTACTTCAATGTAAAGAGTTTACTGAAAGTCATTAAATGCATTTTTAACAGATTCCATTATATGATAAACTGTCTTCACTATGGGCTCCCAAGGAGGGCAATATGGGTGACCAATGAAGTAATTTGTCATGTGTTGACCTTCATCTAATGAGAACATATTGTTTCATTATCCCAGAGCCTTTCAATTTTCTCTTAAAACCCACAATAAAATCTCCCAAATCTGGATGAGTTGGGATAACATTTCATGTTGTCCACTCTTAAAGTTGAATTCAATATCAAAAACAGCAAAATTGCAAATAAAACAAATGTATCAGCAACTGGAATGATATAACTTCCTTTTTCATAAAGACCTGCTGAATACCTTTTGTAACATATATTAGGAAGGAATGCATTGATTGTGTTAATTTATTCTGCACCAGGTGATTAGCCATAAAGATTAGGAATCCTTTTCAGCCATGTTTATAAGCCAAAAGCAACAGTGTTGTACCATCAACGAATGTGTAAAGTCATGGAAAGAGGATAGAGAGGTAGAGCCATTAGATACCACTTTTAAAGTATTACATAACCTGTATAAGCTTCTCTGAATATTTACACTATAATATGAATATACAAATTTAGAGTGAGTACCTTTAGGAGTAAGTTGTTGGTGAAATACAAAAGTATAAATACAGGTATAAATATAATGTCAATGCACATCATGGAAAGCAAGGAATGGGGTAGGAATGATCTATATACTAAGAATGTCTGTTTATACTTTCCATTACAATAAAAAATCACAGGTAGACAGTTTCTATATACAATAGTCTGTTAGCAAAGCAATAGGGCCTGGTCAGGTGTGGTTCTATCCTTATGAGCACATACACAGCCATTTGAAATCATGCCACTTTGTAACAGATTTACATATAAACACATCTATAGAAATCATAACCACTGTTCTTTATCAGGATACCTAGCATTGGCATAGACTATGTAAAACATCTGTAATGATAATTAACTGATGATAAAAGAAGGCTTCATGGTGATAAGCATTGAAAAGATATTTTAACAGTTACACTATCATTTTCGTCTTATAAGAATATGTCCAAAGTTACAAGTTGGCTGCACTTACTCAAATGCTGTTATTGTTATTATTATCATTAAACTTTAATGCTAAAAAATAATGTAACATTTGACAGACAAAACCACACATCAAACCTTAAGGCTCAGGATACAGATGATCTTATAATACAAAAACATAATCAGTACCAGTTCATGGTAAAACACAAACATATCACAAGGTGTAGAAGAACAAGAAGCAAGTTGAAGAAGCAACTCCTTTTGTAGGCTTACTGAAACCCTGGTGCCAGTCCCACAGCACTACCCCCAACTATGCCTGACTAATGACAGTTGGGGTTACTGCTTTGTGGGACAGCACCATGGAACAGCCAGAACATCAACATTCATTAAACTATACATTCTCTTTACAATATGTACCCATCAAGATCAGGGTTAGAATTGATCTTAAGTAACCCATGCTTGTCGTAAGAGGCGATTAACGTGATTGTATGGTCAGGCTCACTGACTTGATTGACACATGTCATCGTATCCCAGTTGCATATATCGATGCTCATGCTGTTGATCACTGGATTGTCTGGTCCAGACTCCATTATTTATGGACTGCCACCATATAACTGGAATATTGCTGAGTATGGCGTAAAACTTAACTCACTCACTCTGTACAATATGAATGAAATACTTAAGTATTGAGCAAAACATTTGGTAAAAAGTCTCTGTTTGAACCACAGACAACAATATACTGAGGTGAAGGGAGATAATCACTGTAGGTCCTGTAAATGTGTGATATATACTGTGTGATATATACTGTGTGTATATACTGAATACATATACTCCATACTGTTCTACATTCAGCAGAATTCAGTTAATTCATAAATGTTTGTCCTAAAATAACACTCTTGTTAATGCACTGTTGAATAAAAAAGGGATCTCTTCCTTTTGTTTTTTTTCTTTCACAAGTGTGAAGTCTATAACTATAAGATGCACTAATATCACCCACAAAGTTTAGAAAATGTTGTCATCATATAAAGTTCATTTTTCACCAAAACTGTATGAGCAAATTTCTTGTGTTATCACACATAATGTACTGACAATCTATCCCGACCATAATCAACGATGTAGAATTGGTCAGGTCATTTAGAGTACAGTCGACTGCTGCAGCCTGTAGAGGGCTCTGACGAGGTCCTGAAGGGACTGCAGGCTCCCCGTAAATTGTGTCGTACTCGCAGAAGTCTGTAACCAAATCATCAAAGAATCTTGAGATCAGTCATTTCAATCTGGCAAATTATGGGCAAGAACAGCTTACATTCATCTTTACTAAACTAAATCATGACTCATTGTTATAACTTCTTGTCATGGACTCCCCTCTCTGGCCTCAGACTGAGCAAGTTTGATTTTATGACACATTTAGTAAAACTGTCACCTATGTCAAGAACAAGAACACAAAGAGAGACTTCCCACACTGTACCCAAAATAAATCCATTCTTCGATATGAGCTGTCAGATCAGTCAAAACGTTAGCCAACCATATCCCTAACTGTTGTCACTAGCACCATTACATATTATCATCTTTATCAGCAACATCTTTAACATTTAATTCTGTTTATTAAATTGATTCCTTTATGAAATCAGATCAAAGATGATTATATTAACTCAGTTCAATGTCTGTCCTCACCTCTGTAGTGGCTTCTGAATGTAAGACCTCAAACGACTGTTTAATCCCCTGCGAGGGGAGGATTGGTGAGGGGAGGGTTGTGACGCGGCGTATCTGTCAAAGACTGCAGGTAATGTCATGCCAGGATCTGACATTGGTCGACATCTCTCACCATCAGAGAGCTGAGAATCGGACCTGACACTTGGAACGGGGTCCTCAAAGTTAGACAGAGAGTCTTCTGGGAAACATGGCATACTGAAAGCCTGTTAAACAAAGACAGGACTGACTGAGTTAGTTTGGCTTAACAGTGATTTCAGTTATACCAAGTACTGTCAGCTTTAAATGTAGATTGTAGGTGATAACCTCCAGGACAAAAAAGTCTTAACTAAAAATCCTAACAAAGACAAAGACCAGCAGCTCCTTGCACAAAAGAGGGACAATTCTTCAGAGTCTGTTGTGGTGCTTAAAACAACTGGGCAACCATGCATGTGGATTTGGTGTACACACTCTTCAGACAGGGGTGTCCTGCGCGGCTGACATTTGTACAAAACAGACATTCAGAGCGACCCCCCCCTGCATGTCATATACAAAATCAGTGACGACCCCTTTAGTGCATGTGTACAAAATTGATGACCCCCCTACTTCCCCAGAACAAAATGGGTGGACACCCCCTTTTAAAATCACACACACACAGACACACACACATTTAAGTAATTTCCACTTACTCTGTTGGAGAAGACATCATCTGAAATGTTGTGAATGTCCTCATTTTCCATGTTCTCCTGTTGTTTTCTTGGTGACCATGGTGATAGACATGTACCAACATCCTCATCATACCACGACTGGATACGGTCCTTCACTGGCGCCAGTTTCTCTCTCAGTGGTGAACAGTCCGTTTCCTCAACCAGAGCCTCAAATTTCTTTGCAGCTCTCTATATTTGATATATTTTCAGTGATTAAACAAAATAAAAACTGACTTTGAATAATGCTACAGAGTCAACAGCATGCCAAACATTTCCTGTAATCACGACATTATAATACATACACCATATACAAATCTTAATGAAATGTTCATGTGATGCATATTTAATATTCAGATTTACATTATATTTGCAGATTATGATTGAGAATGAACAATTTTAATAAAAGCAGTTTGTTTTCATTATTATTAACAACTATACATTCGAGCACCGTTGTCTCCGAACTTCGAGACATCCGACCAGGGCATATCATCCCTAAGAAAGAAAACAAAATGCTTCTCAGTATATTTTGATTCAAAACTATAATCGGTTATCAGTAGTGTTTACTCGTAACAGTGAGTATTTCCTTATTGATTCCTTCTTAATTAATCCTGATTAAATAACAAACAAGTGACACCTTCAACTCAATTAGCCCCAATTAGTTTACACTACCGCATCTCTTTGATTCATGCTGCACCGTGTGTAAACATGTGGAAACAACCTCAGTTCAGAGGGATCCTTGCCCATGAAAGGTAGGTGAATATTATGTTTCTTTGCAAATATCAAGTTCAAAGGGTAATTTTGCTTCTTGGGACCATGAAATTATACCGAGATATCTGAAATATAGAGACATTCATATAGAGTTAAAAGAGCTTGAATAATTATGTAATTTTTTGAGTAAAATTGATATTTTATACTTATCCTGACTCATGCTCTTTTGCTTGTCCCCTTCCTCTTGCGAACATAGTGGAACACTTGTATCTCCTTAATAGAAGCTCCCTTCAATGTAAAATCACTAATTGGTACTCACCCAAGAGTTGCCTCCCCTGCCGCAAGCGCGGGAACAGGTGTCGCCACCCTCTGGCCTCATGCTTCACTCTCTCCTGATTTTGCGAGCCCAACACTTGAATTTACAGGGAAATCCAAAGTGTTATGTGGGGAGGATGGGAGGGCTAACCTCATGAGTCAGGATAAGTATAAAATATCAATTTTACTCAAAAAATTACATATTTTTCCTTATCCTGACTCATGCTCTTTTGCTTGTAGAATCCACCGGAGTGGTGGTGGGCATAAACAGAATACTTTGGATTAATAATTAGTGATTTAAGTAACTTATACTGTAATAACCCCTGCGGGAACTTCATAAAGGCATTGACTTAGGATATTTCCTTTATAATAAGCCATAGGTTATATATACCATAACTGGGGTATTACATTACTAATAGACTGATATACCAAATTATAGATATAACAAGCTACTCTGATAGAGAAGCTGTACAACTGAACATAAAACTCAGTATGAGCTTAAGGTTGAATAACCTAAGCTAAATATATACATAGCCCTAGAACTCCGTGGAGTTATAAGCTAAATAATGTATGTATAATATACATAATAATCTCGTGGGGGTGAATATTAACGCCTACGAGGGACTGTCAGTTGCTGAGCGAGGACCAAAGGACCGAAATGGTGAATGCCAGAGACGTCCTCGGTGGTGATATCTCTCAGATAGTGATTAGCAAACACCATGTTAGATTTCCAGAAGCATCCTTCCATAATTGTATTCAATGAACAGTTACCGTGAAGGGCGAGGGTGGAGGCCAATGCCCTGATTTCATGTGGATTTGATGCTGTTGGAGGGTCCAGTCCTGCTGCCTTGTAGGTAGCGGAGAATGACAGTTCTTATCCATATAGATATGGTGGTACGAGAGACTTCTGTCTGATTAGTAGGCGATCTTGGGATGAACAATCTTCTGAGCGATCTTCGCCTTGTTTTGGAAACGGCGTAAATAGATTTTTGAGAGCTCGTACTGGGCATAGAGATAAGTCCAATGTATCTTGAGATCCGAGAATCGAGGATAAGCGCAGGGGCGTGAAATAACCTGTCTGGTTGGCCTGGTAGTTGATTTTTGGCGATGAAATCCCATCTTAATCCCAGGTGCGCTGTGTTTTGATTGTCATCAAACTGTATCCTCTCATAATCTAGGCGTGAATTTCAGATATTCTGGCTGCCGTGGCTAGCGATAACAGGAAAATTGTTTTCTGTGAGAGAAATTCAAAGGTTGTCGATTCAATGGTTCATAATCCTCACTTGTGAGGTGTTGTAGCACTACATTCAGATCCCAAGCTGGAAGCGTGGAACTTCCGCTTTTGGTCCTCAATCGGAAAGCCGTAGTAAGTAAGGCCAGTAACTCTGGTGTTTTTGTCAATTTAACACCCGTTCTCATAGAAATCACAGAACTAAAAGCGGCAAGATATGTTGACAATGTCGAAGCCTTTTAAATGTTTGTTTTGCCGTAAGTAACACAAATAGTCTGCCACTTGAGGATCGCGTAGCATCTCTTGCTGTAAAACCCTTGTTTGCTGCATAATTTTGAAACTGTGCCACTTTGTCGCCGTATTTCCACGCGTTGAGTATCGTAAAGCAAAGCGTGACCGCTTTTGCCGCCCTGGTAGAATATCCTCTCTTGTTTAAACACATTTTAATACAGTCCATCACGTGAAGTTTGAATACTTCTGGGTTTCTGTGCACCTGTTTGGTGTGTGGATGTATTAACAGCTTTGAGCGCTTGGGTAGCTCTAGTGCGGTTGACCGATTTCTTGTATTAGAGGGGAAACCACGTTCTGGCCGGCCAGTAGGACGTAGCGACCAAAATGAGTTGTAGGCTCTGTGTTTGGCTGATTTTCTGTAATACTTGAGGTATTATTGCTGGGGGCGAAAACGCAGCGACGCATTGAGGCCTTCCCATGATATGCTTAGAGTGTCCGTTGCCCATGCTTGTGGGTCTGGAACTGGTGACACGAATGTCGGTAGTTGATTGTTGAATCTTGTGGCGAATAGATCTACTAGCGGTGCTCCTATTTGCTTGATTATCTGTGCAAATATCTCTGTATTGAGCATCCATTCTGTCGGTGACGGTAGATGTGGCGAGAGAGTCGTCTGCTAGTATATTCCTGGCTCGGGAATGTGGCATGCTTTGACATGTAGATTTAGATCTTGGATTAATTCGAACAGTTGAAAGGTTAAAGTCAAAAGGTTGGCGATCTCGTTGAGCCTTGCCTGTTCACATAGAGCGCCACTGTCGAGTTGTCGGTATGTATCATCAGGTGCGCATTCTGTAGAATGTTGCTCCAATGTCTTATGGCGTTGATTACAGCTTTCATCTCTAATGAGTTTATGTGGAGCTTGCTTTCTAGCTGATTCCATAACCCTGATGCCGTCTGGTTGGTGAGATGAGCTCCCCAACCTTGGAGTGACAGCGTCTACATATAGATGGGTTTTGAATTCCTGCTCTGCTAAACAGATCCCTTCATGAGACATTCGATTTCTTGGTCCACCATAGTAGATGAGGTCTGAGATGTTCGGTAGACTGAATGGTTGTAGGTCGTCGAGATGTGTGTTGATGAAGACCTGTAAGGGGACGTAACTGTAATCTGCCTATGACTGTCAAGTCTTGGGCTGATGTTAGAAGACCTAGTAAGCTCTGCCATTGTCGAAGTGGTAGCGGAGAGAGTAGGGCTGGTGGAATGATCTGTTGGATCTTGAGCCAACGGTCTTCTGGTACGACTATACGGTTGAGATTGGTGATAAATCGAATGCCTAGGAATTGCAGATCTTGCGATGGTACTAGGTCCGACTTGTGTAAGTTTACTAACCATCCCAGCTGTGTTAGTAGCTTTATGATGTAGTTTAACTGTAGTTTGAGATGCTGTGGATCTTGATCTACTTGTATCCCGTCGTCGAGGAAGAACGCACTGCGTAGCCCTTGACGATGTAGATAGGTGACAATCGGTTTCGTTATCCTCGTGAATAACCATGGGGCTGATGTTATTCCGAATGGGAGTACTTTCCACTGGTAATGTAACCCGTCTAGAGTAAACCGTAGGTATTTCCTGGATTCGGGATGTATAGGGATGTGCAGATAGGCATCTTGTAGATCTATACTGCCCATGTAGTCCATGGGACGAATCATGTGCCGTAACTGCGGTAGATGTATCATGTGGAACTTCGGTGGTCTGCGTAGATAAGTCTTGTTGAAGAAGCTCATGTTGTAAATGAGTCTGTATTTCTCCTTGGAGTTTTTCTTGGGTACTAGGAAAACTGGGGAGTAGAAACCTGGTTCGATGTTTCCTTGATCTATTACTTCTATGGCCTGCTTGGTTAGGAGTAATGTAACAGCCTCTCTTAACTTTAGTAGTTGCTGTGCCTGTACCTCGAACTTGGGAGGGTTGACTGTTAGTGGAGGCTTGGCCTGTAGTGGGATACGAAATCCGCGTTGAAGAATGTTGGAGACATAGGTGTCTTGAAGTATTCCCCAGTTTTCCCAGTGTAGTTGGAGACGTCCACCCACTTGTGACGGTTGTACTGGAACGGCTGGGGGTGGAAGACTCCAGTCGTTCCGAACCTGTCTTTCAGCGTTTATAGTTGCGGGAACCTCTGGGTGTCCTGCCTCTTCCTGACCCTCCTCTATAGTTGCCATATGGGGCGTGAAAAGAATCTCTTCCCCTGGAACTGGCTATCTTCCTGTCTCTTGCTCTTTGTAGGCCCGTGAATTTAGATCTCCTGAGTATCTTTGTGAAGTCTGTCGAATGACACTGGCTAGCGTGTCCATCGATTTAATCATCAGGACTTCTCTGGAATCCTTGGTGACTTCCTTGGAGACTTTGTCTATTCCTCCGTCAAAGATGGATGGGGAAGACCACGGGCTGTATATAGTGGAGCTGTAAAGTTCTCACCCCAGTTGCAGGAAGCGAGGAGGCCTTGACGACGAGCTAAGGTCAGTGCTGCTGAGACAGACGTGAGATGATCTGTTAAGAACTGCTGGTCCTTCTTTTGCATCAGTAGGGCCGAGTAAATCATTCTATCATCTTCAGAGGTCGTATTTACGAAATCTGGTGATAAGTGTCTCATTTATTGTTCTAGATCTATTTAGACCAAAGAACATACGCCTCGTCATGGTTTCTATCTGAACCAATTTTCGATCATCAATCTTGTAGTACTTGTTCTTGGCATCGGAGATCAGCTTGTAGTTCTCATCGATGTCTTGCGCCTTGAAGAAGGGGTCCATATTATGCGTGGAGAACTTCTTGGCGTGAAAGTTTGGCAGATGTGGTGTTTGAACCTTCGTGGCTTTGTTGAATGCTGTATCTAGGTTCTGTGGTACCGCCGCAATCGGGTCGATTGGGGGTAGTGTAATAGCATCTGCATCGTCTTCTTTCATCAGATAAGTCTGCGCCGAATTGCCACTCTTGGAAGGTGATGAGAGATCTAGATTACTGACCATCCAATATCTTATCTCTGCATCTGAGAAAATAATTCTTCCATCATCTTCCATTCCATCATCATAAATGAGAGGTTGTTGCTCTTCTGATGTAGGACTGTGTGGCTCTATCTCTATATCGTTTGACGCTTGTGGAGATCTAGTTGTAGGCTTATGTGCAGACCTGTGAGGTGATGTACGTGGTGATGTACGTGGAGATCGGCGTGGTGATCAGCGAGGCGATCGTCTTGGTGATCTACATCGATAGGTTGATCTTCTTGGCGACCTATGAGGGGACCGTTGGTAGCTTCGCGAAGCTCTTGTGTAGTCCCTCGATGTCCTTTTAGATGATGATGACGATCTGGGTTCAGGTGTCCTTCGCGAACGCCTTCGCGAAGCTTCCTCTGCGTCCGGTCCTGGGGAACGGTGATATGACCTTCGCGAAGGCTTCCGTGAGGTCTGATGATCAGATTCCGTATCTGAGTATGACGCCGAAGAGGGTGATGATCTTTCCCGCCTTCGCGAAGGCTGTACATCTGGGTCCTTCGTGGAGGTGGTCTGTGACTTCCTTCGCGAAGGCGGCATCGTCGTGGCTGCTACGTTGACTGGGGGTGCCTCTGGGGTGCTGTCTACGTTGGAGGCTCGGACCCTGGGATGGCTGCTTCTCCAGTCTGTAGTGGCCTTCCATCATGATCATGATCTGCTTCATTAGATCGTCTGGGATGATCTGCGGCGTAGTAGATGGTGCCCTCTCTGCGCTGATAGCGGTGGGGCCCTCCGCGATCTCGTCTGACATCAGTGTAGAGGCATCAGGCTGCATGGTGATCTCTGCTGAAGTCACTGTCGCTGTCACTGGTCGCTTCTTGTGGCGTATGTCGGGTATGATGATTGGTTGATCATCGTAGAGGCCCAATTCTGCTGCTGGAACGATCTCTGCTGAGAAAGTTCTCGATGACTTCGTAGATTTCCCTTTGGAGGATGACGCTGCCCTGGGGGGTACGAAGTCTGTGTTGAGAAGACGTTGAGGCCCTCTTGGACTTTATCTGCGATGACGGGATGTCTGGGGAGGCCGGTCGCTTCTTAGATGTGACGGACTGCATCCCACGTCCCTCTTCCGATGGGGTCTCAAGCAGAACACCAGACGGGAGGGGATCGCTCGACAGCAGCTGACTGGATGGGAAATCCGATGTATCGGCCATGTCTACACCTAGTTTGCGCGTGACCTATCTGCAACACGTCTCAAGACTTAAAGATGGTATTTATTAAAGGCAGAATTGGTTAAATTAATGCAGTAACTGCAACGTGAATCAAACGCACAAGGCGTAGTACAACTAGGGCATACTACATGCGGATCCGCAGCGCGAAAAGCGTAATCTACAAATAGTACAGTTTTTCATCAACGTAATACTAGCTGAACAATCACACGAACTCACGTGAATAAACAGTAGAAATACGATTAATTATCAATGCAAATTAATGAAGGATACTAGCTATACCTTTATAGTAAACTATAAGAGGTAACTAACTAAGAAAACCAAAGGATATAGTGTGTAAGGAGACACAGGCGCTCTCACATCCTGCTCACTGGGCGAAGAAGGAGAGAGTGAAGCATGAGGCCAGAGGGTGGCGACACCTGTTCCCGCGCTTGAGGCAGGGGAGGCAACTCTTGGGTGAGTACCAATTAGTGATTTTACATTGAAGGGAGCTTCAATTAAGGAGATACAAGTGTTCCACTATGTTCGCAAGAGGAAGGGGACAAGCAAAAGAGCATGAGTCAGGATAAGGAAAAATATAAATTATGAAGGATTTTGCCAGGACCGAGATGTTATATCAAGATAACCAAGATATCGAGTTGTCAGAGTTTGACACAACGGTGCTCGACTGTATTTCTATAAATATCATAAATAACAATGAAAGGAAATATTTTTTCTTTCGTCAAATTATACAGTCTCTGTAATGTGCAAAACTACTAGAATATGCAGTGCAGAGGTTTGAGTATGGAAAAGCATGAAGCTATAGAAAGAGTTGAATGAATGTAAAATGTAAATACAAATAAAATGAAAATAATAATTAATGTGGTTTTAATAACTCACAGCCAAATAAAATAAATTAAAAAACACCCAATACATATACTTTGGATAAATTCAAATCTTGAATATAAGGGTTGAGAGGCACAGTGAATATCTAATCCACACTTGCATTAACATAGTTAATGCTGACTGAGTGAGTATGGTTTTACGCCGCTTTTAGCAATATTGCAGCAATATCACGGCAGGGGACACCAGAAGTAGGCTTCACACATTGTACCCAGGTGGGGAATCAAACCCGGGTCTATTGCATGATGAGTGTAGGCTTTAACCACTAGGCTACCCCACCGCCCCTAATGCTGACTAAAATATATTAAGTACAAAGTCATCTAACAAAACAGAACAGCAAAATCAACACTAGTTTTGGAATTATCCAGGAACTGTGACTAGACTTTCCTGCAGTGTTTCTATATTTGTTTTAGTTCACTGGATCTTAATATCAAGAGACTTTGCCTAGTCACATCTTAGAGTTGTCTGCCCTTACAGTATCCATTACTTTGCAATCCTTGTGAACTTGACAAAGCATGGGTTATTTCCTTCACCAAGAGACTCACAGAAAGCATACATGGCTGGCTGGGGGGATAATTTAACCAGGGATCAGTACACCCAATAACCCTGACCCCTCAACACACGCACATCTCCCAACACACCACTATACACACCAACTGGCCCACCCCATCACTCTAACACAAACCTACACATCTGCAGATTATCCGCTCATGGCCATAGAGAAAACTGTCCCAGCCAATCAACTCTTAGCCCATAACATACCTGCAGCCAGTGAGCATTCAGCCAAAGATAAAATATATATCTGCAGCCAGTGACAAAATACATATTTACAGCCAATCAGCATTCAGCCAATGAGAAAATATACTAGCCACATAAAGAAACTGTACACACAGAAAATTCCTTCAGAATTGGAATACAACACAGAAAAGACGACATGATGTAGACACTTTATAAGCTGAAGTATCGACCCTCAACAGCATGTCAAAAGAACATGAACAATATCCGTAACGATGACGTTAGAAGTTCAAAATTGAGTTGGGGGTCACACGTCAAAGTCACTAAGTCAATAACGGGTATGACCATCATGCGCGTGAAGCACAGCAGTGCATCGACGACGCATAGAGGCTACCAAATTTTCCAAATGAAGGCCTGGGGAATGGTTTGGGACGTGGTCACTGCCGTCTGGAACCTGTGTCTGATATGAGTCACCCAAATCCATCTGTCCTGTCTTGGCGTCGTTACTCGGGGACGTCCAGAACGTGGGTGGTCGGCGACGTTATTACTGTTTCCCTAACGCCTGACCAATGCAGATATCGTGTTACGATGGCATTGGAAATGTGCTGCCACCTGTTCTTAGCTCATGCCTGCTCGAACCATTCCAGTGGCTTCATAGACGTTGAGCAGATGTTTATCTTGGCATGATGTGCATGTGACTTTTCATGTGAGTTTGTGAACGTTTAAATGACCAAAGATCAAGCTTTCGACAGTGACAGTGACATGTTGTGTGCAGCTGCACAGGCTGCACGTGCAGTAACAAATTGCAAGTCCATAGGCCACCATCAATGACGTCACGTCGCTTGGCACCTGCATGAGCGTTTGATTGTCTCCAATACTTGCTATGTTAACACCTTTATTTATGCATAAAGACGCTGTCTGCCTATCTTTGTATTTTCTGTGTGCACAGTTTCTTTATGTGGCCAGTATACATATCTGCAGCCAATCAGCTTTAGCTCAAGACAATACACATAACTGCAGCCAATCAGCTCTTCGCTGAAGACAAAAATAAAGAACAAAGCTTTGTTAGTGCCACTCAAAGCTTGAAAAGGTTGTAAAGATCCCATACTTTTATCCCAGAATCTTGATGAATGAAAAGCTTTTTCACCAGTGGATCAGATTTCTTTTCTTTCTGTAGATGTTTTCTGATAGACCGTCCCCTCAGTGGCATCTTGTGACTGCTGGGTTTCCGTAGAGTCTGCCGGTCAGTACACAGCTTCCTGGTTTAGAAACACACACAGCCCAATTCATAAGACATAGGAGGTCCATGTCGCCTCAAGACCTACCTACCAAAAAAGCCAACAAAAGTCAGAATGTGGCCTGTTCAGTCATCATATTCTTTGCATTTTTGAGGTAACGTCACTGCCTTTTAATTGAAGCTGGCATTTATAGTTACCATATTGTGGTTCCTCTGGATAATTGTGAATGTGCAACAAGTCACATATAAATATAACCATGCACTCCTTGACCTTCAGACTCTGGATCCACAAAAGTATTTACCATGTATACCCTGTTCATGACACAGACATCTTAAAATCAAAATCAATCCATGAATCTAAATCATGTTCTCTGGGGTTTCATTTTTTTTTCAAATTCACATCTGCATGAGATCAACTACTGGATAAAGTCAAATTGTATGTTCCCTTACATGTCTATTTCAAAGTTTGCCTTCTAATAAATGTGTCCACAGTGAAATCAAAACTGAACAATTGGCAGACATTAATCTAAAACCTCTGTGGTATGATCACAATCAGCAATTTTATATGTATGAACCACTCCAATGTTTACCATAATGTCATTCTTCTGCTCTATTTCAATTTTTGGTAATCTAACATTACAACTCACATGACTGCCTTCTCAAGAGCATCACTCCATGCTTTAGCGTTGTGTTGGTCTTCAGAGTACAGCAGTAGACTCTCATCCTTACAGGTCACCTAGGAAACATATATGGACTGATAAACATGCAATAGATATGTTAGGGTGAGTGAGTGACTTGGGTTCAGTGCCACTCTCAACAGTATTCCAGTCATATCATGGCATGTCAGCTAAGTGAGAGGTCTCAGATGTTTCCCACTTTGTAGAAACTCATTAGCATGGGTATGGTGCTTACAAACCTAGAAACAATTTGAGCGAACTGGATTTCAAACCATCAATCATAGGTTTTCTGAGTGCCAAAGAACCCTGTACAGTGAAATGCTGAATCTGGGAGAGGAAGTCAATGTTTTTGCTTGCTATTTAATGCCATTCTCAGAAATATTCGAGCTACATAGAGGTAGTCTGTAAATAATCCAGTCTGGATAGATGATTCAGTGACTGACATCATGAGCATCAATCCATGCAAATGGGATACAATGACATGCATCAACCAAACTAACAAGCATGACCCCCTAATCCTGTTAATCACCGCTTGCGACAAGCATGTGTTGCATGAATGGTACTAGGGTATAATGTCCCACAAAGTGACAGGAAAATGGCCTCCCCATCTCTCAATGACATGCTCTAAGCATCATAATGCACATTATTACCCTGGTCAATCCAAGCTGCCTGTGAGGCACTGGAAGGCTAACAGTCCCACCATATATCCCACTTACTGCTGGGTGAACAGAGGCAATGTGGAACAAACTCACTAAGGTCAGACCACATGTGTCACATGAACTTCGTTGGGGGACAGAGTGAGTGAGTGAGTTTAGTTTTACGCCGCACTTAGCAATATTCCAGCTATATGGCGGCAGTCTGTAAATAATCGAGTCTGGACCAGACAATCCAGTGATCAACAGCATGAACATCAATCTGCGCAATTCTCAGCGAGTCTGACCACCCGATCCCGTTAGTCTCCTCTTACGACAAGCATAGTCGCCTCTCGTGGCAAGCATGGTTTGCTGAAGACCTATTCTACCAACGGGTCCATTGTGGGACAGAAGCCCTAGAAACACTCAAGAGGTGACCCATCCAAGGACTCACCATGACCAACGTTGCTAAACTTCCACTGATTTGTGACCTGGAATCTATGCACAAGACCACACACCACCGCGATACTCAGTGATTGCTGTGGTCAGGGCTGCAACTTGCCGAAGTCTGCTACCACAAGCATCTCAAATATTGGCAGAAGTTCAGGCTTTTATGTCATCATATATTCACAACACCAGGAGGCACTGATCCCACCCTGGCATATGTGTTGTCCTGACTGTCTCACCTGCCCAGTAATACACTTATTGTGCCAATAATCTCACCTGAAACATTCCCCCTCCATCTTTGTGAGCTGTGTTAGGGATGAAAACTGGGTGGATCTGACAATGTTTGAGAGGCAGGACACAGCAGCAGTTGTAGGTGCGACTACCACCATCCAGAAGCTTGGGCTTGCCATACAGCAGGATGTCCCGAGAACAGGAAGAACATACGCTCATGGGACCTGCCTCCCTTTCTGGCCACCTAATATAACAGGTGTTAAAGGGAAATGACACAAAACAGACATTTGCGGGAAAAGTAGAAGAAAGAAATACCAGTTTCACAATGAGATTTTATCAAAACAGAATGCACAGATTGATTAGATTCAAACTGTACACAGTGTAAGAAACTGTACGCATCAGGAGAGATGTACAAGGGGCTAAACATCAGAGTCCTAAGGACTCTTAGCAATATTGTTGGGTGTCCTTGGCACCGATATGAGTGCACAAGGCTGACCACAGTACCAAAATATAACCACATTTAAGATATGGATTTCCTTGTTTACATCAAAAGTCACAGAGTGAGGCCAAATAAAAAAAGATTTGTGGTTCCCGATTACACCTCTTTAAAGTTTAGGCTAGGTACAGTCCGTTTAAATTGCAAATTTTATCATTGTACAAAATTGCCACATAAATATATATAGTACACATGTTTATCATTTACTAATACCCAACAGCTTTCTTATATTTGAAAATTTTCCGGACTCCACCCAAAAAGTTGTTTAAGAAACTGTCATCATTGAAAACGCAAAACTTGTTATCTGTCGCGGCGGAGTGAAACCACAGAAACGGAACAGCCGGTCATGGCGGGGGATATCTCAAAAACTATTCCGGGAGACCTGTCGGTTCCTCGTCCGTCGTAGTGTCATAGTCACGACTTAAAGGGATGACAAGTGGTGCCACAGTTGCCTGTTGTAAGCCATCCCGAGACCAGTAACCTTGTTCAATGATGTTAGCTACCTTGTTGACACAGTTTTGCCAAGTTTCAGTCGTGATTTTGTTAAGGGATTCCTTAACCAAAACCTCTACGTCACGTAATCTAAAAGTTGTGTTTGATCTGGCAACATCTCCTTTGACAATACCCCATATCATTTCAATGGGGTTAAGGTCACAGTGATAGGGTGGAAGTCGCAGAACATTGTGACCCTTACTTTTTATGTAACTGTCAACTTTGTAGAAAGGTTCACCTTTGTGGGTTTTTATGATCTCATATAGCTGAGGCTTCGTTGCCTTTGAAGGCAGTGCGATCTGAAATTTGTCAAGCCATGATATCATATCACCTTTTCGACTGTTCGATGTCGGGGCTTTACTGTCAGGGTCCTGCACGCTGTGGTATGGGGCATTGTCCATTACGATAAAAGACTTCTCTGGTAGAGCTGGTACCAACTTGTTTTTAACCCAATCGAGGAAAACCGCACCATTCATCTCGGAATGGTAGTCTCTGTTATCTGTGGACTTTGCCCTGAATACCAAGTCGCAGCCTTTGCTGGAGCAACCAGCATGGAGAATGATTAGTCTCTCACCTTCCCTAGAGGCAGCTTTCTACGTGACCCCTTATCACCCCCATCGGGTACCCACTGACTGCTGGCAGTGTGCGGGGCATTGACCCAGGCCTCGTCCAAGTACACTGGCTCGAACCCTTCCTCGCGCTTCTTCTTTATAACCCTGAGAAGACTATTTCTCAAGCGAACGATATCAGGGCGTTCACAGAGTACTGACCTATTCTCCCCCGAAATTTTCTTATAACGATACCCGAAAGAGTGTAAGAGTTGCCAGAGTGTGTACTTTGATATTCTGAGGTTGTGTTCTTGCTTCAAATGCTTTTTAAAAAATTTCAGCGACATGTATTTGTTTTCAGAATAGAGCTTGTTGATAGACTGCCTTATAAGGTTCAAATGTTTTAATTTGTGTGATTTTGACACGACCCCTACCTGCTTTGCATCACCCTCACAATGTTTGTGTTCCAGAACATTTGTCAGTACCCTTGCTGATACTCCTAAAGCTTTTGCTGCCCGCTCACGGAATTTATTAATGGCATAAAATGGTTTGCCCCTTTCGGCTTCAGCACGGAAAAAATTGTACACTTTAATCATCAACTGTTTCACGTCAGCATTCAACTTCATTTTTCACCAGGCATGTGTATCCTGTGCACGAGGAGATAGTGGCTGTTCCTTTTCAGCGGTTTCACCCCGTCGCGACAGATAACAAGTTTTGCGTTTTCAATGATGATAGTTTCTTAAACAACTTTTTGGGTGGAGTCCGGAAAATTTTCAAATATAAGAAAGCTGTTGGGTATTAGTAAATGATAAACATGTGTACTATTTATATTTATGTGGCACTTTTGTACAATGATAAAATTTGCAATTCATCGGTCCGTTTCTGACTCAAACGGACTGTAGGTAGGATGTTTTTTTCACATTTTTTAAAGTAAAGTACGAACGAATAACACATTTATCAATGTGTAATTGTTTATTCAATCAAGCTTGCAGCCATCATGTCGACTTTCTCTATCAGTATGACCGATGTCCGTTGATGCCGAGAAAAAACAATGGTATCTGAAAGATTATTTTATTCATATCGCTTAAAGAAACATAGGGTCGGCACCAGAATTCAAGGGTCGGTCTGGTAATTGGAACCACAACATTTTTTATTTTTAGGCCTGAACAAATTTGACACGGAATGGTTGAACATTGATTTAATTCCTTAGATTGTTTAAGGGGGGTGCAAATCAGGTATTGGGAGATATGGTACCTTGTTGAGGGGCCCTTCTTTGATGAAGATCCTGCCAGGAGCAAGTATCCTGGGAGCCGAGCTGTCGAAACTGTTCTGTATAGTCAGCATCTTCTGGAAGTTCTCATGCTGCCGGATGTGTTCATTGATGTGAGATGCAATTTCAGCTATTTGTCTTGTGGCCTCTAAAAAACAATGCACATTATGATACATTGCTGAATTGTGTTGATAGAGCAGAGCTCCAGATAAGATTTAGCTCATGTGGGTATTGTTCCACTGTATTTTTTGGGAGTGGGTATTATGAATGTTGAGTAGGTATTTCATTTTCTCCGTTACCCACTGCTTTCAAATATGTGCGTATTTCAGTCATTTTACTCACTTAAGTATTATGTCATTGAGTAAGTTTACTAAGCAGGTATGTTCTGCCTTATGTCATACCTAATCAAAACCAACTTAAATATAATGGAAATGATTTCATAAAAAATCCCTCATCCTATACTGACAGTACAATACTAGTCCTATACTAACAGTACAACTTGATAGCAATCCATGTCTTTTTCATTACGCAAGCGATTTTTATAAATATATTCCGTACGCATTTGTTTTAAATATTTTGCGTATCTAACATTTAAAATGCGTAATTGGTACGTAACAATTATTTTTCAATGCGTAATTGGAAATTTTCTAAGCGTATTTTACCCGGATATGCAGCTTACCTGGGCCTCTGGATAGAGTATTTACCTTCATAGCAAACATACATGTACTCTTTAATTTAGAAAATCATACAATTAAACAACAATTAAAGTTCAGGCACATGATCACAAACACAACCAAGCACAACTTCTCTAAATGTATTCAAAATATATTAAGACAATCAGTCAAGTTTCTGTACCAAGCAAACCAGCAAAACCCTGATGATCAATCAGGAATTCTCTCAAAGTCACAGAGCTTGACCAGCCTCCACTATCCAGCAAACACATTGTACCCTTCAGTGTACCCAGGTCTTCAGTGTGACAAGCCTATATTTAAACTACCAGGCTGCCCTACTACCCTTGTTTGGTTGTAATGCCACAATACGCAATATTCTAGCTACAATGTATATGATAGCAGTCTGTAAACATGAACAACCAATTCTGAACCAAACAATCCTGTGAGTGATATTGTGAGCATTGATCTGCCATTAGGGTTTGACAACGCTCTCAGTCAAGTCACTAAGGCTGACCACCAAATACATGAAGCCTGCCTCTTTCAACGAACACAGGTCAGTGGGTACCCATTCTAACTTGAAAATCCCCCATGGGGCTAGACACACCAGCTGTAGGAACATCCTTCCATCTTTACCTGCCAGGTGATGGTGATCATGGTGATCTTCCGGTGTATGCTGTAACAGGTCCTCCAGGAGCATCTTGTACCTGTAACCATAGCAACTGTCAATACTCCAGGACACTGTACAATACATCTACAATTATATTTCCACGCTTGATGGAGACTTAACTATGCCATGGTTACCATGGCATTGAGGGAAATTCCAGTCACTGAATTTGTTAAAGTATTTGATTCAAGGAACCACCTAATAGTTCTATTAACTTCTAACATTAGCGGTGATCAGGTAATACAAGAATATCTTGACTTTCATGCATTATTCTGAACACAGCTACTACATATAAGGCGGTAATACAAACACTTCTAGTTCTACCATTATTGCAGTACTACCACAACAGTCAAGATTACCCAAGTTTAACTAAATCAGTGAAATGCAAAAGCTATTTTTCTAGAGTCCATGACTTATAATTGCATACTGCCGAATCAGCAACTCACCTGGGTATTCTCTGGACTGGGGTTATCAACAAAGCATTCAACTTGAGACCTTTCAGCTCTGGCCTAAACTCTTGTCGCTTAATGTAATCTGCAAATTCAGGCTTCTTCTGTGTCCACTCCTTTGAGATAAAACTTTGTGTGTTAGTATGAGTGGGATTCTAATTACCATGATTACAAGGTTTTAAAATAACTTTTAACATGTTGAATACATCAAAATAGAAAAGGATTTTAATAATCAGTTCATTTATCATGTTTATATTGACTTCATCTTGAAATGGATAGTGAGTTTGATTTGAAACTGTTGTACTCTGAACCTGGTTTGGTTGCAAGCTGCTGTGTACTGTCAGCAGAATGTGGGGAAAAAGGCCCAGAGTATGGAGATCTTAGATGTTTATCACTTCATTAAAACCATGACAACAGGTATGGTCCTAACAAACCTAGAAACATAGTTAGGGCAAACTGGGATTTGAACCCACAATCACAGATTTCTGTCATCACGTGGTCATAGGGCTACATTTCTGCAGCATCTTAGAAGACAGACACGCTTGCACCTGCTTCTTGCAATAGCAATTATTTCAGGAATATTAATTTGCCTTTTGAACTTGCTAGAGTTAAAATAAACATAAAAATCTTTACAATAATTAACGGGACTATCTGACAAATAGTATCAAATGTAATAAGATCTTAATGCTTAGCTTAACACTTTATATCAAATATATATAACATCAGGTCACCTATTGGGAAAATTTTGTGCTTTGATTGTTTGTTGTTTAACGGCTCACTCGGCAATATTTCAGCTATATGACAGCAGTCTGTAAATAATCGAGTCTGGACCAGCCAATCCAGTGATCAACAGCGTGAGCATCAATCAATGCAATTGGGATACGATGATATGTGTCATCCAAGTCAGTGAGTCTCACATCCCAACCCTGTTAGTCGCTTCTTACGACAAACACAGGCTGCTGAAGACCAATTCTAGGCAGATCTTCGTGGTTCTATAGCTTCTAACACCTTGAAAATAAGGTAAAAGTCACATATGACATACCTGCAGTGTGCTGATTGCCTGTTCGTGGTTGTTGGCATATGTGGAGTACAGTTTCAGGAACGGACCCAGGTGGTGAAAGGCCTGGCCGACAGTGGTCTGCTCCATGAGCTCAAACAGACGCTGGTTGACACCATAGATCTGTTCACTGTTGCTGAAGATGCGAGCATGAGCATCATCCGAGATGATACAGGCAAACTTGAGAGGAAAGTCAAAGTACTGAAAGATAAAAACAATATCTCAGTCTCCATTTATCATAAATGTATTCATAAACAATTATAATTAATTCTCTTCTTCATAACACATCAAAGGCTTGTACACAAATTGATCCCCCATCAATCATGATTATAAAGGGTTGCTATGTGGTGTTGTGGTGATATCTGACATAAATGAAAGACATTACAAACTAGATAACCAGCTGAAAAAAATCAGTTCGAAAATCTTTAAAAACATGTTAAGACCCTGTTAAGAATATTTACTTGCTAGTCCTATCAACATTGGGGTTGCCATCTCTGTTTTTATATCATGTAAGGGTTTACTTGTCAAAGTAGAATTACAGAACTTAACAACTGTGGATTCACTGGTGAATCTGGTTATGAGTGAGTGGGTTTAGTTTTACATCGCTTTTAGCAATATCATGATGAGGGACACAAGAAATGGGCTTCACACATTGTACCCAACTGGGTCTTCGGTGTGACCTGCCACTAGGCTACCCAACTGCCTGAATCTGGTAATGAGTGAAAGAAGTGTATGATGCATTCACCAGGTATGTAATATACTGGTGGGCACACAGTAATTCATAACAGACAATATAGAGGTTTGATCAATATTGAACCCTAATCATGCTAATGTTCACCTTCTGTATAAGTTCTAAATGCCCAAGATATGTCTTCTCTGTTTCAAATAGCTCCCTCTCTATCTTCCTTCTGCGTTTGTCCCTCCGAACTTTCTCTTGGGTCATCTTCTCTTCAGGACTTGTTGAAAACAAAATCCCACATTCTGCATCACTTTCAGATGGATTTTCTACAACATGGAGATTATGCCAAGCGTTTAAATAAGATGGTTCGGAACTAAACATACATGGAAGATACAGAAGAAATGTTTATATTTAACAACTGAAAGAAAACAACAATGAAGAAACTACAATACAAATTACAAGTCAGCAATACTCCAGCTCACATCAATGTTGCCTGTTAATAATCTTGCCCCAAACAAGTGATTCATACTTTGAACTAAAATCCATGTACTGTATATGATGATGCTCAATGAATAAGCAAGTGATTCAGGTCATCATGGCCATTGATGCTTTTTGCTTCTGCAAATCCTGAGAGCAAGGGACAAACAACCCCATAATCACACTGGAGTCACAGCAGATGATTTGGACACATGTTCAGCAGATCTTGGCACAACAAAGGAACTCAACTTCCCCAGGCAAATGAATCACTAAACAACCACTGTATGGAAGTTAAGCAATATCACCTTCAACATGTTTCATCCACTTGTTTCTCTGCATTTCTATAGTTCTCCCCCAGCTCCACCTGTCTGTGTCCTGTGCCTGCTTCAATATGGAAACATATGTTGTTACATTTCACAAAGTGTAAAACAGTTTAATCATGTTAATGATGAAACACAAAAACATGTATTTCAAATACCATGCACCCTGAAAAGAGAAAACTAGTATGATAACAAAAACAAATCCCCTGATATGTTCTTATTCCTCCTTGTACTTCTGTCAATATGCTCAAACATCAGAAATATGAAAAATCCACCTTCTACCATGTCTACTGGCTGGTGGACAGTAATCACAACGTAGCTATTGACAGCTACATTTATTATTTCATGTTTATGTGTGCCTTGTAAATATTTGATAAGATGGGTCAATTGTTATCTAGAAAATATGACTGAAGTTAATTTTTTAAATATGCCATATACATGCAAAGTGGCATAAAAAGATGAAGGGTGTCACCTACTTCACTTCATATAGAATATCTCCCGGAAAATATAGTAAGCTATTGTAACTATTTTTTGCAAAATCCACAGGAAATTGGTGTTATTGACATAATCAGGTGTCATTTTGTTTTACTATGTTGTTATGGTTCTGCTAGCAGATACAAAACTGATAACTTTGTTATTCTTTACCAGAGTTGAAACAGGTGTGATTCGAATAACTAAATAGTGGTGCTTTGATCATGTGGACCATGCAGTTAAGAGAATAATCATGATAATCCTTCTGGCACAAAACACAAGATTATCTTGGCAGAGTAAAACAAACTAGGTTCAGTAAACACTGACAAAGTACTGGTTGGTGGCCACTAAGTGTTATTCCAGTCTAGCACAGGGATTTACAGGACGTGAATTCCTGCGTCCTATACGCATAAAAATTGACAATGGACGCAACAAATTTTATTAGCGCATCCACAGGGACTCAGAAAAAGTCAAAATACTTGTAAAAATTCCAATCAAGTGACAGTAAGTTATACTGTAACAATGTGATGATCATGATACACAATATAATAGCAGTATTGATAATAATATTTAAGTGTCTGGGACCCCAATTTTGTTGTCCAGGACCCCTGAAAATTAAGAGTATGAGTCCCAGGGACCCTCAAATGCTGGACTCCCTGTAAATCCCTGCTAGCATATTGGGTGGAATAGGAGTTTATTCATATGAACTATGCATGACATGAAAAAACATATTAAGAAATAAAAGTGCATGCTCCAATGGCTTCAGTAGATTACCAAAAGTATTATGCAAAATACTTCAACATGTTACATAATGTAAGCAAAATGAACTGTTGTCCTTTTGTCAAATCAGGTTATCAGGCAAGACACAGTACGTGTCATCAACTTGATCAGCTGGTTGTCAATGTCGAAGTCAAACCACTCGGGAAACCAAGATGGTTTTCAAAACTGCCAGCTGCCTAGGAATTAAAAATGTCTACAAAATCATGCTTCTGATCACTCGTTTAAACAGATAATCCTAATCACACTATATCGATCCGTGAAGATATAATTCATGCATTTATTGTGGTTTGACAGAAAACTTGTCACCTACCTTTTCAAATTTTGTGAACCATGGAACGCCCTCTGTCGGATGACCTATTTGTCGTATCCTCTAAACCATCACAAACATTGATGCTATATCACGCCCTACCTGACAAATATATGTAGCATGTAAATGGTTTACATGCATTTACAATGCATGTTATATAAGCGTTATCAATATAAATTCTTTGTGGGTTATTTGTTGTAAATTTTGTGTAGGTCTTTTGCTTTAGTAGCTGTTTTGAGAGTAAAGCATGTTCGAACGGCAGGTGCTTGTTCATCATCTTCATGTGCATTTATCAGTTCAGTTAAAGTGATATGTGAGAAAAAACAAAGTGAACATCTCCAATGCCAAGTATGTAGGAGTCAGTACATCTTTTGCCACAATTCACTGATTTATTTCACCTCCAAAGCGTCAAAGCAGCCTAAACAAGAATAGGTTTGAAAATAGACAAGGGAGGCAACTCTTGGGCGCTGTGCAAGTTGCTTATTTTCCGAATTTGAGAAATTTTTTGTTGGTTCGAATGAAGTTCTGTATATGAATGTGCATGTTTGCATGTCTTGTTGTGTGTGATTTTTTTGTGGGTTTTATTTTTAGTGGGTGCAGCTCAGCACCAATTAGCTCAGGCTGTGGTGATTGCATGACAGTGTCAGGTGCCTCTTCTATCATTTGGGTGAAATGTGTTTTGGTTAGGATAGTTTTCACTGAAACCCAATAAGGAGGTCCAAAGGGGTTATAGCTAAAACGGCACCACAGCAGAACGGCACCAAATTTGTTTGGTGAAAACGGCAGCATATTGGCGAAAACGGCTACTGATTTCTGGGCTAAAACGGCACAATATATAAAACAAAGTATGACGTTGACTTATGTTTTATTTCATTTCATTATAACATTAGCAAGATATGTCAACATACGAGTCATTCTCAAAATCCGTGCATATTTATGTCAGATGTTTGTATCCGACAAAAAAAAGTCAAAGTCAAACAAAAAAGATTATGGTAACTAACTTATCCCAGTATCTTCTACACTTTACAGTAACATAATTAGGGAAAATATATTTTTATATTTACTTTACACCACCGTATTTTACTCAATGTTCATGTGTCACAACTCCAGTGGCTGATGTCACAGATGTGGCTTTTGAATTTTTTTGTCTTTTTCATAAGCAATAAATATACAATTTCAAAACTCATTGGCCATGTTATATGGTAAAACTAGATATTTTAATATATATGTACATTAAATAAATATTATCTTTGGATTTCTTCTTTTCAACATGATAATACAAATTTCGTAACAGAAGTGACACAATTTCAGGAAATGTCTAATAAAAATGGTAAAATATGATAAATGAAACATCATTAAGCTTGCATAATTTATGTTATGTATATTCAGAAAAGATATTATGTTATGTATACCCAAAAAAGAAAAAAATCCCCATAAAAGAAAAAAACTAACAAACAATGGGTTGTGTACTTGCTTTATTTAATGTCGCACGCACAACTAAGGTATTTCAGCGACGGTAAACAATGGGTACATTTGTGCGATTTAAATACAATTTCATTTTGACACTGAGTTTGACACTGGGCGATTTCAGTTGAGTAAATGTACTTAAAACATCAAAGGTTGCGATGTTTTCACGCTAAATTGGGATGCCCTTTCCAATCACTGTCTGCACTGTAGATGTATTTACTATCTAAACATTCTGCAATCCGATTATCAGCTATGGGATGCCCATTTCCAATCACTATCGGCACAGTAGATATATTTGGTTTAAACACATTTTTATTTCGTCAAAGAAACCTGGATAGGCGAACAAGCCTAGTGGCTTATATAGAGGCAACTCCAGTACATTGTTCCAATAGCTGGATACAATTGAAATAATTTGACAACAAAAGAAAAATACTGTGACAAAATAACAGATACATGATTGAATAATAAATATGTTCGATATGGTGTTGGTTATGCCCAGCAACAAAATGAGCAGCCGCAGAAAATCAAGTGATTTAAAACTTGCCTTACATTGAATATATACGTAGATTTGATGATATTACTGGAAGCGGTTACTTTTAGAAATGAACTGTTGTAATGAGTTCAGAATGTCACTAATAGTTGAGTTATTCAATGCGCCGTTACCATATAAACTAGTTTTCACATCGTATCCTTGAATATAAAAATCCATCCTTGTTCTTAAATTTTGATAGTTCCGACATAATAGTAGAATGTATTTACCATCTGCAATTCGATTATCTTATAACAAACTGGTTTTCCCCATAAGATTTTAGTTGGTGCCATTTTCACCATAAGATTTGTAGCCGTTTTCGCCAAGTTGAGGTTCAGTTATGTCCAAATGGTGCCGTTTTTGCCAGGTGCCGTTTTGCTGTGGTGACGTTTTAGCCTGAACCCGTCCAAAGCATATCCAAGAATTATTCAGAAATATTTAAAGGTGTGATCACAATAATTATTCATGCATATTGAAGTGTGCCACAAGTACAATTATTTGGCTGGGTTACACCTTTTTAAAGCAAATACTTCTCACTCAAATAATGCCTAATATAGGCAGAAATGACATGTACATTACTGTCCAAAAGGCAATACAATTTTTTAATGTCATCATGTTTCAAACACAACCACAATATAGTTTACATGGGCATAGGAAATGACAGAGTAACTTAATGCTTCATGATTTGGGGTGAATATATTTCCCTACTCTTCAACACAATTTTTTCTGGACGAGGAATGAATCACTCTAAGAATGTCCAAAGTTTCATGGAAATATACGTTACTGAGACTTCATCTCACCAGGGGAGACTACTATTGAAGATATGAAAATGTTTGTTTGATTTAGATTGGAGAATAATGTGTTTTTTTAAAGGAATTAAATACTCATTAAAGAAATAATAGAACTTTTCGGTGCTGTTAAAAAGATGTCTAAATGCATTAATCAACACATAATTTTAAGGATGAAATGTACGTTACCTCCTTTTGTTTCTAGAGGTCTTACAAGAGAATGGTTTACTATACAAATTGATGTTTATGAATATAAGACAATAAACTGAAGTGAGTTGCTCATTGGTCCTACTTGAAATAAGCATACTGCTTCATATGAATGCATAGTTTGAAAGATACGTTACCGAAATGTACGTTACCAAAGAATACGAAACTAATATCTACCATGCATACAGCTTTACACCAAGCTGACCATGTGCTTCCTGTCGTCTGCTTGACCTTGGTTACACTGATTGCAAGACAAACCATTGATTTTCAACGCTGAAAGACCTAAAATGAACCTGAGGTAAGTTTGAATGACTATACTTAGTAAAGTTCATAAAGCTCATCTACAAGGTTATTTGCGATTAATTCGTGTGAAAATGTTTTAGTTTCATGTCTAAACTGATTTTAACTTCATGTGCTCACCTCCGTGGTGTGGTGGTTAGAGCGTCCGCCCGGAGAACCAAAGGTCGCAGGTTCGATCCCCGACCACGTCATACCAAAAGACGTTTAAATATGGTACTTGTTGGTCCCTGCCTGGCGCTCAGCATTAATGGGTGCAACAAGGACTGGTCGCCTCGGAGTCAGTATAATGTGTCTGAGTGGGGTGTTCATGCTTCACTGCGGCATGGTATCTCATTGGGCTAGCACTTTAAAACCAGCTTCAGTCTGGGCTAGTACAAGCAGCCGCACATACACATACACATGCATGCACGTCGTCATATGAGCGAAATATTCTCAAGCACGACGATAAACACAATTCCACTCGCCTCGCCTCGCCTCCGCCTCGCCTCGCCTCGCCTCACCTCACCTCACCTCACCTCACCAGTATCAGTTATTACCTCCCTTGGTAGTAATCCAGCCATCTAGGGTTCAAGACCTACTTTCCACATAAACTTTTGCAGATTTCTTAATTTGTTTCATATCCCATAGTACCACTTTCCTGTCATGTGACCCTAAAAAGCACATGTGCTACTGGGACCCCATGCTTCAGTGTGTTAGCAGCTGCCATACTGTCAAGAGGTCTCCTCTGACTTAAATTTCAACGTAAAACACAGGAACACAAATGTGAGTCTTGCATCTTTATTTCTTGTGCAAATATAATGTTTAATAGTTTTCCTTTGAAGTTCATGGACTCATATTGCTATTGTTACATGCAATATTTCTGAAAGTGTTCAAATAATGTTCCAACGTTTTCAACATTGTTAAACATGAATTTAGATGATATTTTGTGAATGCATTATATTCTATAGTCAAATATTGTTACAAATTGTTTCTGTTTATTCTAGATTTCCAAACCTCATCCGCTCATCCACTCATCCGCTTATCCACTCCTCTACTTATCCTTTCATACAATGGCTAACGATCAACGTCGAACGTATACTCTACATCAACACCTAACATATCATTGTTTCCCATCAAAAGAATAAAACCCTGTGGCTGCGAGTTACTGGAAAGTCTTTCTTGCGTCTACAATATTCATGCAACCTATTATACCTATTTTTGATATTATTGATATACATGTGTACCTTTGATTACAAAGCAATTTACACGCTAATGACAGTATGTTTGATGTTTCATTATATTTGCAATTCTGTAAGTTCCAGAGTGGAATTCTGTCGTTTCCAGAAGGGAACGACTAAACTGCTCTATGTTTATGCTGGACATGTGTAACCACACGTTTGGTGATTTTATGTGTTTCATGTTGTTTAATAAAATATTTTAAAATTTTCAGTTGTCTTTTTGTGTCTTTTGTGTACAATAAGAAGTCTATAACTGACCGGCAACATACATTTTAGCCCTGTTTTACCATTTAGTATGTACCAGGTGTTATTGTCCACAGAATAAGAATCGGAATACTTAACTTTACATCATTTCGGTTCTTAAACATAAAATAATATACCATGAAATAAATCATAAATCATCCAAGTTTGGAAACCTTTTTTTTCCTAATATTTTTACATGTCAAATGGACCTTCTTATAATGTTGGGTTTCAGTGATTTACGCTCGCTCAGCATTTGACATAGTCTGTAAATAATCGCTTCTGGAACAGACAGTCCACTTAGTACAGTTTTAGATACAGTGAGCAACTATTCATATCATCGCATGATCGGGTAACAAGACTACCATCAGCCATGGAAATTGCAATATATTATCTCATTCATTTAACATTGTAAAACTAAACTAAAATTTTAAAAATGAAAACCAATGTTTATAGGAAGATTAACCTTACATAATGACTGTGATGTGTGAGTGTAATCTGAGGTATCTTTGAGTGGTAACTTACAGAGATGAGCTTGTACAATGATATTTGAAGGGTAGATCTATTGTTGTTTAATAGGAATTTAAGAGATTGTTTGTCAAAGTGCTATTCTTGGGTCATAGAAAATATATACAAAAATGATACATTTAAACCAGTGAAAATGTGAACTCAATTCTTTTGATTGAAAATGAAAAATACACTTCTTCCTTGCAAACAGTAGAAAATAAATTTCTTTTTTCCTGTCTTATAAAAAAGGTTTGTTATGTTCATTAGTGCTGGTATTGGCATACAACCTGCGATATGATACATCACGATACTAAAATTTGTGTGACGACGATATATTGCCAAAGTATTGTGCACTGAAGCTGGGATACCATAAGAATCCCGATATAAGAATGAGATATGATACGTATCACGATACTAAAATCTTTAATTCTAATACCAACTATAAAACACCTTAAGGTCAAACCAAAACCATTTTAAAGTATTTCGGCAAATTCCGCCAGCGTTTCCTAATGCTTATTTGAAAACCAGATAATTAAGTTTATACACAGACTTTGTGAATGTTAATAACATTGCGAGCACTATGCCTGACAGTTCTTGACGCAAGAATTTCTGAGAAAACGTTTACTTATGAAGGGAAAATAAGTAAGCATATATTTTAATCATCAAACAAAATTAAGTCTTTTTTCTTGACAGATATCGCGATTCGGCAATATTCAAAGTTAACATCGATATATCGTGGCTCATCTGAAGTATCGTATCGGGATATACGACAATGTAAAACTTAGTATGGATCCACTGTATTGGCCCATGGACCGATGCGTATGGATGAATCGTCACACCACTAATGTTCATTCACATTATTATTGAGATTTGTCAAGCTTACATATACCGCCTTACCAACTCAACCCAACAAAGTACTAGAATTTGTACTTTACTGAGAAAGTGTAATCCCAAATATAACATGTGTTAAAAAAGTAGATGGAATTTGTTTTTTGATCCAGTTCATACTGCAATTGTTTTGTCGCAGTTGATGTTTAGGCCAGATACCTTTGCAAACTCCTTTATATGATATTTATTAATTCCGAGAGTCCTTCTTAGATCTATATGGAGAGAAATTTTTGTCATCTGCATATTAGAATTATAGTAACATGTTCTTTTTCACTAACATCAGTTACATTTAAATGTTAAATGATTCATCTTACAGCAATTCTATCACTAACAATTCTATCCATCATATTATAACAAACAGATATGGAGCTATTTGGTCTCCTTGACAGCAGCCACACTGTAAACAGAAAAGGTTTGAAATCAATTCAGTGGTTTTGGTTGCACTGCAACAATTTTCAGAAATATTTTGATAGTTCCTTCACATTCTCCTGTTGGAGACATTGGCATAATGAGTGAGTTTAGTTTTACGCCACACTCAGCAATATTCCAGCTATATGGCTGCGGTCTGTAAATAATCAAGTCTGGACCAAACAATCCAGTGATCAACAGCATGAGCATCGATCTGCGCAGTTGGGAACCGAGGACATGTGTCAACCAAGTCAGCGAGCCTGACCACCCGATTCCTCTAGTCGCCTCTAACAATCATGGCATAATGGTCTGCAAACCCTAAATTTGACATGTTGAATGAAGCAATAATTTCAGTAATGAAAAATTTTTTAAAGGTCACATGCAACCAAAAAATCAAACATAATTAAAACACAATTATCACTTCTTCATGACATATAATATGCATTGCTGATTATGAAAAAACAAATAAACAAAATTATAAGCGTATAATCACAAATCAAAAGTGCAATATTTTGTACTTGGGTTTACCCTCCCTCGAAACGAAGCAGCCGGATACCGAACCCAGTCAGAGCGGGTGGGTGTGCACTCAAGTGTAACGGCTGGTTCATTAGCAGATGCTGCCTTCACGGCTCATTGTGTGTGTATATATAGAGATGTTGGGTTTTGTAAATACATGCTCATTTTTTGTGTATAACATTTTGCAATCAACAGACATCATAACATGTCATGTGTTCAAGTATCACACCTGCCTGTCTGTGTAATTACATAATGTGACAGAGACCGAACTCGGGCCATAAATCAATGCGTTTTGTTTATGGTGTATAGCCTGATTGGTGTTAAGTTCAAATTGCATGTGGTCAGTGATCGCAGTAGTGTATTGAATATTGTCATTAGCAGACAGGCAGGCAGACACACAGGTGTCAATAAAACAAGACATTGAGTTTTGTCTGTGACAGCGACATATCTATATCACAGTTAGAAATTGTGTCAACCCTAAATAATGACATTGCTTTTAAGTATCGAACTGAGAAAGTGACTGGGTAAGAAGAATGTGTGGTGAAATAGACAAATGAAATTATATAAACAGTTTATTTACTGTCAAAACATTATGAAAATAGCTCACACCAAAGCCTTCACCGAGTATTCACCAGACAGCCCGCTTCCAAGTTGCGCGAACCTATTTCACTGCGCACGTGCTATGAGCGCAGCCCAGCTGTTGAAACCCGTATTCCCCAGAAAAGTCTGGGGAAAATTAGTGAAACGTTTGAACTCCGATTTCGCGCGTTTTTTTTCATCGCGTTATTTTTCAACTTTATAAATTGAATTTGCATTTTTGACGCTTTGTTTCGATAAGTCCATACCGAAAGGTATCAGAATCTGCAAAGTTGTGTTTTACGTTGCATGTGACCTTTAAAATTTGTGTCCAAAACCATTTATTTCATTTAGTTTCTGTCTCACTTAACTTCCAATATTCTAAAAATGTCACTTGAATGAAACAACTTGTTGTAGATCTATTTTTGTTTTGGGGAAAAAATATGTAAACAAAATAATTTCTGAGGGTAAATAAAGGAAGTATGGATGTAAATGTTTAAATTTGTACCTCTGGGTACTGTGGGTTCTGAAAAATGATAATTTGGAGTGAACACACCTGTATCTATTTTTAAAACTGAATGGTTTAACTGTTCTTTCTACTTCTGATTCAAAGGGACTGGCAGCAATACAGTTTCGATTTTCAAGGCATGTACATTGGGAGTCCCATGCAGGAAACATGTGGTAACAATACATATTGCACATGTTCAGTAGCCTGTTACCCATTATAGATGAGTGTATGCTTACAGAATAGACCATTGACACTTTAGACTTTGAGGGAATATTTACCTGAAGAGAAACATCAGTTATATGCAACATAGAGTCGAGGTTTGATTAAAGTTGACATTTTTTATGTCCCAAAGACCCACTATAAAAATTATTTGCACCCACTCAGTATGTACGTTTGTGTATAGGAAACAATACTTTGTCACTATAAACCCTGCTTACTATAAACCCTGCTTATGTGCAGAGTTACCTCCTTTAGCTTGCCAGAATCCAGTTATTGTGGGTTTGAATCCTGGATTAACGATGGTTATGATCTTTTTCTGTTTATGATGTGTTTCACTTCAGGCTTTGTTTGCACATCAAGTGGACATTGGGGTAGCCAAGTGATTAAAGCAATCGCTTATCACACTTATGACCTGGGTTCAATTTCTCTCATGGATACATGTAAGGCCCATTTCTTGTGTCCCTATTGTAATGTTGTTTGAATAGTGCTAAAGTTGATAAATGCAGCATGAAACCATACTGACTCATTCATACTTCAAGGTCACATCAACATGGACATTCAACTTACTTTGCAACAGTACTCTTGAAGATCCGGGTTAGAATTGGTCTCCCGTAACCCATGCTTGTCATATGAAGCATTTAACGGCATTGGATGGTCAGGCTTGCTGACACATGTCGTTGTATCCCAATTCGTAGATCGATGCTCATGCTGTTGATCATACTTGGATTTGTTAGATTTTCTGGTCCATACTTGATTATTTACAGATCGCTGCCATACAGCTGGAATACTGCTGAGTGTGGCGTTAAGCATTAACCAACCAACCAACCAACTTTGCAACAGTCCCTCAGTGTTATTTTTGTATAATGTTGCTTTGTCTCGTGCTATTTTCTTGAATATTATCAATGTACACCTCAATACATCCTGGGTTTGTAGTCCTATCTTTCCTGTATTGAAATAAAATGTTTACAGAAAAGATCCCTGTTACTTTATGCTGGTATTGTGATGTGTTAAGTACAAGAGAACATCTGATGTGCTGGAATACATGTGCATTAAACAACAAACCTGCTAAGGTGAATAAGATTGTATGTGAAGTTTTTACAAAAGCAAGAGACACCAACAAATAAGGGAATTCATTAGATTTAATTTTCTAAGTATAATACAAGCAGATATCGTCTTCATTAAAATTTTGCATGATTCCACAGTGTTTCAAAATGATTGTCAGAGAGTGAGTGAGTGAGTGAGTTTGGTTTTCACGCTTTTAGCAATATTCCAGCAATATCAAGACGGGTCAGAATTTTAATCAGATTTTAAACATGGTTTCACTGGAAGCCATATTGAAATTTTCATTTTGGCTCATTCATCCTCTCTGTGTATATCATTGTTAATTTATCACTGATAACATTTGCTGTGTGGTTATCCCTCGAGTTAGATACATTAGAGTTTAATTATTATGATAAATACTCTGGGCCCATTCACAATCATTCAGTTCTTTTGATTCAAGCTATAATGACACATGTTAAAATTTAACATTTAATCAAATTATGTGCTTGAAACAAGCATTGACATTTGTGTGCAAATTCAGTCAACACATCTCACTCCCTAAGTCAGTGTTATAAAGATGGATGTTGGGAATGAGTCTAGTATGTAACATCATAGAGTGGAGGTAAGATAAGCTTCATAATCAATGATGTACTGTCAGTGCAGTAATTATACTTCACAGAAATATTCCCTTCCTTCCGGAGTGGTGGTGTAGCCTAGTGGTTACACCCAAAACCCCAGTTCGATTCCCCACATGGGTACAATGTGTGAAGCGCATTTATGGTGTCCCCCGCCGTGATATTGCTGGAATATTGCTAAAAGCGATGTAAAACTAAACTCACTCACTCACTCACCCTTCCATCTAAACATGGAGGCCAAATGACACAGACTAAGAATATTGAATGCTTGATGCCTGATGCATGAGTCAGGATAAGTATAAAATATTAATTTTACTCTAAAAATTTCATGATTCTTGTAGAAACAAATAACTAACCATTTGACTTATGTTATAATTGGGACTGCACTTTCTCTTTTAAAAACAGATTCTAGTACCTTTTGGTTTGAGTTCCACACTCTCATAGGCACATACCTTATCGCCAGCACACAAAGTCAGTGATCTAACCCTCTCAGCCAAGTCAGATAGTCTGGTAGTCCAGATAACATATTTTGTTTACCCCTCTGACAAGTGTTAATTGGCAAAGCTCCTATGGCTGAAAGGGGTTACATGTGACGTGTTATATTGGGATTAAAATTTTGTATAAAATCTATTTGGGTTCTATCATCCCAAACTGGCTTCCACAGGAGATATCGCTTGGGTGAGTAGATACAACAACAATGAAATTGTGCCGAAGTGCTTTGCAGACCTATTACATCACAATCAGATGACATCACTGATGACTGAGACTGCCGCTGAAGCAGCTCCACTGTATTTTTACATTGAAGAAACTAGTTGGTCTGCACACAAACACTTTGAACAGAACACGTAAATGCAGCAATGCTCCATGGAAAACTGAGGAGCATGACTTTCATGGTCAGACCACGTGATGTTGACCACGTGGAAATCCATCGATTAGGATGGACCTGAGTTTAGGTCTCACTTGAGTAAGGTGACAGCTCATCACGATTCATTTTGTTAGCTCGTCCAAGTAGGATGTAGATAGACTGATCAAAAGAATTTGATAATTCATTGAAATGGAAGTTCCATATAGCTAGCTGCAATAATAGATAATAGACTTTAAGCTGAAATAGAGCTGGATACTGTAGATAATACCGGTAGTATTTAAGGTGTCATATTATATTTCTTGCCCCATTTGCATTTAAATTTGTTAAAAGAGATTCACTTTCAGTTCCCCATTTATTACCTGAATTATTTAATCAGTCTAACTACGAGAATCACATTTAGTTCCCAGATTAGTACATTTGAAACTTCATATTTGGTTAGTTTTGTTTTCAGTTACACTACGCAACATTAGTTATCACTGTTTATAAACTCCAAAAGTTTGATTACAAATAGATATGGGGACAAGATTCTCCTTGTATCCATGTTCTTCCTGAATGTTCATGCTATATTTATTCACTATTTCAGGTACAAAAGATGACAAAGTCCTCTTTCACTGCTGAATGTAGAGTATCCTCCATCAATGGCATCAAGAGTAAGTGATTCATTATTTTTAAGTAACCTCCACTAACAGTCCATGTCCACCAAATGTCATGGAATATTGTCAAGGGTGCCACAGTTGTCTGAAGGTTACACAACACCAAATGTTTTCCCATAGGCTTCCATAGTAACCTTATATTTTTTTAAATTATCCAGGCTATCAACAGCCATTTCATGTACATATGGGTACAGTCAGGCCTTTAAATTACAATAAAACAATTTCTGGTCAAATTGTCCGGCTCATTGTCCGAGCACAGGAAGCAGAACACATCAACCCCAGTTTTGCACCAAATGTCACCTACTGGAAAATATCTGTACACACAATAAGCATAAGTCATGGTGATAAAAATGACAGCACTAAATATTTAAAATTGTGGTCAGCTTTGATTACTGGATGGATGTACTTTTAAAAAGCATAAACATCTTACACTATTTCATCCAATCACAGTCTCTTCAGTTCACAAGTCTCTGTCTTAGTGTAGTGGAACCTGACTGACTTCAGTTTTCACGCTGCTTTTAGCAATATTCCAGCAATATCATCACCGGTGGGGACACCAGCATGTGATTCTGATTTAGTGTAGTGGAACCTGAAGTGCCACAGTTCACTAGGAAGAGTTGTGTCCCTTAGGTATTCAGAAAACCTTTGATTGTCAGTTGGAGTGAGTGAGTTTAGTTCAGTTTTCACTCAGCAATATTCCAGCTATATGGTGGCAGTCTGTAAATAATCAAATCTGGACCAGACAATCCAGTAATCAACAGCAACAGCATCAATCGATGCAATTGGGATACGATGACATGTGTCAACCAAGTCAGTGAGCTTGACCACCCGATCCGTTAGTCGCCTCTTACGACATGCATGGGTTACTGAAGATCAATTCTAACCCGGATCTTCATGGGTCTTGTCAGTTGGAAGACCAGATGCTCCCTGAGTATGGCTCTAAGTTTGTGAGCACCATACCAGTGTGCTTGTTTCACACCCATGGTAAACTGGATGACTCATGGCTGCATTACATCAGGCTTTCCATCCACATCAAGCTGACACACCCTAACAACTGTGACCGCCGCCATATACCTGGATTATTGCTGAACACAGTGTTAAATAACAACCAAACCAAACTAAAAACTGTGTGATACTGTGTAAAACTCTTCAAACCAGCAATTATGTTCATACAGTCCCTAATTTATCTGTGTAGTCTTTGTAACTTCACGTCGTGTCAGCCATATTGTTACTTGAACATGTAATATATCTATACCATGTTAGAGGTGTTGGAGTAGTGGTTAAAGCGTTTGCTGGCTCGTCATGCCAAAGACCCTGCCATGATGTTGCTGGAATATTGCTAAAATTGGCATAAAATTAAACTCTCACTCACTCACTCACTCACTCACTCACTCACAAACCCACCCACCCACTCACTCACTCACACCCAACCCACCCACCCACTCACTCACTCACTCACTCACTCTCACTCACTCACTCACTCACTCACTCACTCACTCACTCACTCTATATCATATTAAGAATCTGTTAACGAAAGAAGGTTCCATGACCAGAATATATTACAGATTTGTTTTCTTGAAAAGAAATAAAATTCAGATTTTGACGTAATTATTCCTTGAGAATATAAAGGTCCCTTAAAAGGCTTTAAATGTTTCAGACCAATCCTCAGGGGTGGGTGTTGTTCGTCACGAAAATTAAATTTGACCCATGCCATTTGGAATATTTTAAGGATGGACACTCACTCAGGGGTGTTGAAAATTAAATTTGAATGCCATTAAATTTTAAGGATGGACACTTTTAAAAGACATTGCAAAGGCCTTAAAGTTTGTCACTGAAATTCAGTGTGAACAATATAGCTGAAATATGGTGTTCAATGGGATTTGAAGGTGGGAAATCTTTTGAAATTTTCAAGCATATCAATACACTTTTCATCTGTTCACACTTTATAGATACACCATTGTTTTTGACAGGACAAAAACAAATATATCATATTCATTAAACATTGGCAACTGCAAACTGTTGCTATGGAAACACTTCAGTCATCCAGTGATGTTACATATCTGTCACAAAGCTGTGACAAAGAATAGCATGGAAATTTCCGATAGAACTTTTGTATTTGATGTTTTGGAAAGCATTAGTTTCAGTGTTTCAGGCAATTTTGAGTGACACACAGGAAGTTGTCATTCAAAGTCGGCAAACAACACCAGCATTTCCAAATTGAAACCTTTAGACTGGCAATATGTACAAATGTAAAAGGGCATCCAACAAATGTGATTTCTCGAAGCACTTGTAAAATCGCTTTGTAGTGTGATCTGAAGTGCACACTGTGAATACACAATGCCATTTAGAAGGTGGTCAAATGTAACACGTTATATTTGGGTTTACACATTCTCAGTAAAGTACAGATTCTAGTATTTTTCTTGGGTTGAGTCCCATCCAGGATTCGAACCCACACCCTCAGGGTCAGGCACCTAATCGCCAGGACACAAAGTCAGGTGTCTAACCCACTCAGCTATCGCGGCCTCCACTGAGGCACTCATTGGGAATAATACTGGTCAGTCATAAATTGATTGTTGCCAAAGTGGATATATTTTGAAGACAGAGTTAACAGTCCAGTTAAAGTTTGGCTTGAATTTTTATCAAATAGAAAACAGTACATTATACCGTATTTTTACTGTTTTGGTGCAGGAATGTCTTAAATTTGTAGTTTGACTCAACTGTGACCTACTGCAGAGAGCTCTCTTCTTCTTTCAATTTTTGCTCGTGTGTTTTGCTATGCAGAGTAACATACCCTTGGTGTACCTGGATCTTCTGATAGGGGACTAATTTGAAATTCAACAGTTATGCATCTTGGTTTAAAAACTGACACCTGTGCAAGTGGGTAAATCTCTGTGACCTGTACCACTTATGGCATTTCTCCAAGGACTTGTCGGCTCGGAGTCAGTGTAATGTGTCTGAGTGGGGTATTCATACTTAACTGCGGCATGGTATCTCAGTGAGCTAGAACTATAAAACCAGCTTAAGTCTGGGCTTGTACAAGCAGCCACACATACACACACATTCACATCATCATATGAGCGAAATATTATTAAGTACAATGTTAAACCCTATTTCACCTCACCTCACTATTAGGCGTTTCTGTGATGATGTCAATAGAACATCTGCGGAGGGAAGGAAAGGTTGATGGGATAAAAGATGTTAAAAGATGTACTAATTGTTATCCTGTCCGAGGCTTGCATCATGGAGATAAAACAAGGACTGTTTGGCATGGAGGTGATATACTATGTCCATCTTGAATATCCATGTTAAACTGAAGTTTGGAAATTTTAATATATATTTTAATCCTATCTCACAACTTGCACCTCTCTCTCTTGCTTCGACTTTTAGTGGAACGACTGTAAACTTTTTTCCATAGGCCTCCTTGTCCATTTGCCCATGAACTCCATGCTGCTCTCCTTAATTAGCTTCCTAGTTCCTAATAAAGCTTGCAGCATGCTCCACTAATTACCCACGTGACTACCTTGAATGATAATTCTCATCTTGGAGCCAATATGTAATCTGAGTAGTGGGGAGGCCGGGCAGGCATCCATCGCGTGAGATAGGATATAAAGTATATAAATATACAATTTATATTAAAATTTCAAAATTATTAAACTTATCCTATCTCACGACTTGCACTTAGATAGCGATGTACAAGGGAGGCCTGTTATGCATGCACCCAACTCCTATGCTTGAAGTGGGTTCTCCGGAACCGCTTGGCTTACTAAGCACAACGACTCCCAGGGAGATTGGTGCTCCCGAGCGATGTGGTGTTGGGCCGCAACCTTGTACAAGACAAGGGACGCAATTCGGCAAGTAAGCCTCGCCTCGCCACGATTTACAAGGTACCCCCGTAATTAAAGTCTTGCGACTAGAATCAGGCCAGCCCCTGCTTCAAGAAGGACCCCCAGACACCGACCGAGGCGGGTGAAAGAGAAACACAACTCGGCATCTCCAAGGTTTAACGTTAAGTTCCAGGCAGCATCAAATTGACCCTCACTCCTTTGCCTAAGCTTAGTCAAAGGATGTGCCCGGCAACTTTTGAGGCAGAACGCAATGAAATCCACTGGAATTCGGGAGTGTCACACTTCACTGACGTAATTGCTCTGTGGAGTAGAGGTCTAGTGGCGTGAAAGTCGAACACCTCTGCATCCTCACACTGATTGTGCCTCAGCTCCGTAGGGCCACGCTAGGTGGCCGTATTCCGATGCCTTGGTATGGAGGCCAAGTGAAGTAGTTCTTAAACCTATATAATGAGAACAAAAGGTTGAGATCCAGTTCAACTTTTATTCAGTATATACAAGGAAGTAGTAACGCGAATGCGGAACTGTCCCTCATCTGCTTTGTTGGGCCGATGTAAGCTGCTGAGCCAGTACAAGAGGTCCGAACTGGTGTAGTCCCTGGACATCCGTGACAGACAGGTCTCGCAGGTAATGTGAAGAGAAGACTATCAGAACGCCAGAAGCAACCTTCCATGATAGCGGTCAAGGAGCAGTTGCTATGGAGGGCCATCGTCGAGGCTAGTGCACGAGTCTCATGAGGATTGGAAGCGGCTGGAGGAGGCAACCCTGCAAAGGTGTAGGCTCGCAGGATCGTGGCACGCATCCAGAAGGCCAATGTGGTCCGGGAAACCTCAGTTCGACAAGGGTATGAAGAGGCGCTTCCGTAGCCGTCGACGGTCCTTGGAGGCAGCAAGGTAAACGTGTAGAGCCCTAACAGGGCAGAGTCTCAAATCTTCATTATCATCAGGCCCAAGAATGGTGGACAACAGGGGAATGGTAAACATCCGGTCCAGTTGCCCTGGCAGTTGGTTTTTCGCAATAAAGTCCCAGCGGAGACCCAGGAAAGCCTTGCCATGCTTCCTCCACTCGAACCACACCTGATTGACATCAAGTGCATGCAGTTCAGATATACGAGCAGCGGTAGCCAAAGCTACCAGGAAGAATGTCTTGAATGTC